GGTCTCTAAGCAAATGCTCTACCAGCAAGCTACACCTCGAGCTCCCACCTTTACTTGGAATCTCCCCACCTTAGCTTCTGCCACAGTGGATTCTATATTTTCTCCAAAAGCCTCAGGACCTTTGTACTTGCCATTCACCCTGTCTGGACACTTTTCTCTTAGGATCCTGTCTGTCTCCCCTCTCCTCTTCAGGTCACTGTGGGCATGTGACTTACAGGGCACAGGTTAACTGTAAAGTTGCAGTCCATGTCCTCCTGCCCTTCCTAAAGCATCTCACCCAACTCCCCAGACCTGGGAGGTCTGTCGGTCGGATCCATTTTTCTATTTTTTTGTCTGTCTAAAATGTATTGGTTATCATTCTAACACCCAATACCAGCTGGGACCCCTTAAGAGACCCTGACTATAAACAACTCTTGAGCTCCTGTTTGCTTTATTTGTATTCTTCCGAGTTTCTAAAAGTCAAATTTCCTACAAGACTGTCCTTTTTCTTCAGATCTCCCACTCAAGCCTCCGGTGTCAGGAGTTGAGAAAATGGCTACAGGGGATCACAGCAGGCCTGCACCGCCTTGTCCCGCCCCACCCAGCCCCTCTCCCAACACTGGCGACTACAGCTCTGAAACCTGCTGCACAACTTGCATGTCCTATCTGTGTGACTTAAGAGAAAAAAACAGACCAGGTGTTGCAGCGCACATCGATAATCCCATTTATGAGGGCGGTATAGGTAGGAGGAGGATTAAGGTCCAGGCTGTTCTGGCCTAAAAGCATAAAAATATGAAAAAAAAATAAAAAGACACTGGGATATGGTCAAGTGGCAGAAGGAAGGCGCCTAGCAAGTGTGAAGGTCTGAGTTCAAACCCCAGTACCACCAAAATCGGCCCCCTACCCCCACAGGTACAGGTAAGTTGCTAGGTTTTTAGCTCCTCCAGCCCTTCCTTTCCTGAGCAATGGAAGAAGACCGTCGGGCAGTGGATGGGCAAACCTGCTCTGAGAAGTCCCGTCAGCCAGCAGGGCTGAGGGCTCTGCGGAGACCTGTGGTGTCCCAAGGTGGCTTGTTGACCAATGAACACAGTCAGTGGCTCATGCAGTGAGGTACCAGCATTGAGCTGAAAAACCTCAGCATAAGCTCTAGGCCTCAAGTTCAAGCACCAGTACTGGAACACACACACACACACACACACACACACACACACACACACACTGACACACACACACGGCTCTTCCAGGGGAGACTAGGAGACTTCACATCCTCACTGAAATTGACTTTCCTAATCTGTAGAATGGGCACAACTGTAGAGTCTCTTTTATAGATGTTAGATGAGACAGAGCTCAGTGGCTGAGCTGAACTCCAAAAAGCTGTCTTCTGGTGCAGCTGCAGGCGGTGACTTCAGCATGTTGCGTGCAATCATCATGAGTACAACATCTCTCTGTCCCCTCACTAGTCACCTGCCTTGGGACAGTTACATCACCCGCATGTGCCGGGTCATGGGTCTGATTAATCATGTGTGTTTGTGGGAACAGTGGTGGTCACTTTGCATATAGGTTGGCCAGGGTTGACTGTGGCTAAGAATGGAAAGCGAAGACAAGACTAATGTAAGATGGACTGATGTCAAGCACGAATGAAAGGAGACCAGGGGAGAACAAAACCAGCCCAGTAAGAACTTCAGAGTGCACAGGAAGGCTGACTCTTCACCTGTCAGAGAAGGCCCCCAGCACTGGATCAAATGTTTTTTGTTTTTTGTCTGTTGGGTGTTTTTGGCCCAACACATTTAAGATTAGTGGCGCTCAAGGTTTAGGTGTGGCGGCCATAACAATAAAAAGGGAAGAAGAAAGGGAAATGTGTCATATTTCCTTTAGCAGAAATATGAGGCCAGGGCCTATTTTTTTCTTTTTCTTCTTCTTTTTTTTTTTTTTTTGTCTTTGGCAATAGTAGGGTTTGAACTCAAATCTTCATGCTTGTCAGGCTTGATTGCTTGAGCCATGCCCCTCAGTCTTCTAGGTGTTTAGAGTCAGGCTATTGTTCGGTCTGCTTGACCTGTTTCCTTGCTTGGATTTCTTGTTCTGTGTGGGTAGCCGTCATAGCACCAGGCTGTTATGAGAAGCTGCCATGTTTGGGATTTATAAATAAAAACAGCTTTCCCAGCAGAAATTGGAGTACACCATGAGATTGTAACATAAAGTTAGAAATGTAAGTCTAGTTGCTCACAGGTGTGTGGAGCCATTGGAATAGCTGCTTAAATGGTTCCATTAATAGAACCTTGTATTTGTTTGAGTGTTTTGCTATTTATGAGCTTTCTTTAGCAGATAACCCAGCTAGTATCAAAGGCTACAAAACATTTACAGCGGGGGGGAAAAAAAGAATCCTTTAAAAAGTAGGCAATGAGCTAGGTGCTAGAGGCTCACACGCAACCCCAGCTTCTAAGGAGACCAAGATAGAATGATTGTGGCTCAAAATCAGCCCATGTAGGAAAGTTCATAGGACTCTTATCTCCACTTAATCACCAAAAAAATAGATGGGCAGACAGATAGATAAAAATGCCAGAAATGGAACTGTAGCTCAAGTGTGGTAGAATCCCAACCTTGAACAAAAGGCCAGGACAGTGCGCATGCCCTTAGTTCAAGCCCTTCTATCAGCAGACACACCCACAAGGCAGGCCTTCTCAGTTTAGGGGGAGCTGAGATTTCTAGGGCCCAAAGCAATATGAGGACCACATGGATACATTTCCTGCAATTGTCAGGAAATTCTCTATCCCTGGCCACTGTCAGTGCCAAGATTTCTAGGGTCTGGAGGGACTGCATGGAGCAAATCGTTGAGCTTGTGATCCACTTTGGAAGACAGACACACCAAATAGAGGTTTTTTTTTGTTTTGTTTTGATTTGTGCTGGTCCTAGAGCTTGAACTCAGGGCCTGGGTACTGTCTCTTAACTTTCTTTGTTCTAGGACAGTAGTGCTTTACCACTTCTGAATCATAGGTGCACTTCAGCTTCTTTGGTGGATAACTGGAAATAATCGTCTCATGGACTTTCCTTGCACAGGCTGGTTTTGAACTATGATCCTCAGATTCCCAGTCTCCTGAATAGCTAGCATTATAAATATGAGCCACTAGTGCCTGGCTCCAGAAACTATTTTAAGTTTTCATCTCACTCTGCATACCAAAATAAATTCCACACAGATTCAAAAACAAACAGATAAGAAAACTCTAGAAAAATAAATATTTGATTTATGGAAAGAGAACATACTGCACCGAAGAGCAAATCAAAGCTACACAGAAAATCTGCGTAGCTTTAACTATTTAAAACTATAGATTTCCAGACACTAAAACACATCCCCCAATAAAAAAATCCGTTATCATGGCAAATATCTATGATGGAAGTGAAATGATGACCATCTAGCTACTGTAGAAAACATTCCTGTAAGTGGTGTCGAAGAGCTTTGAATTTCTTAAAAACAGACAAGGGCATAGGAAGAAATAGATCCCAACAAGAAAAGAAACAATGTTGTTAGCTAACATGAAAGACTATCGGTATCTTTTCTAATGTTATCAAAGATATATCAAGTAATATAGCATGTATGCTTAGCAAAACTGTATATTAACAACAACAAATCCCTTGATATGGTAGAGACAAAAAGTGATACAAATTTGCAGAGAAGTGATTTGCAATATGCATTAACCTCCCAATCCTTTATAACCATATTATCTTAGTCTTGTAATTCCACTTTTTTTTATTGTAAGGATGCAGTTTCCTTAGGATTAAATGCTTCAAAGATTTCTATAAAGATTGTTCACATAATATTATTTCATTTAGCAAGTGGGAGGCAACTTGGATTGTCAGTATTTCTAGAAGTAAATTATAACCGATGGCAGGTAGAAGGAGTTATTTTTCAAATGTTGATGTTAGCTTGCTATCTGTGTTATTTCTGGGGTGTAGCATTAAAAGCAATTGTTCTTTTCTTTTTTTAATCAGAAAGAGTCCCAGCATCCTGTGCTATTTTTATGAAAAAAATAACAACAACTATAATCTTAGTTCTTAGAAAAAGCAGGGTCCAAGATGGAGTAAAAGTTGAGAAAAGGGAATATGCTTCAAGTGGAAGGAATGTCATGTGAACCAAACCTCCAATTTTGGGGAGGGATGGGCTGTGGGAAGATGATACTAGAAAAAAGGAAATAAGCATTTTTTCTTTATTCAGTGATTGAATGCAAGTAAAAGAGTAGAATAGAATGTATTAGTGAGACAGCTCACATTTTAAAAAGAAGGCTGGGAGAGAGTGAGGGAAGGGGTAACAGTGTCCAAAGAGAAATGTACTCATTACTAGATTTATATAATTGTAACACCTCTTCTGTACATCACCTTTATAATAGCAATAAAAAAGAGTGGAGAAGCAGAACAGAAGAAGAAGTAGTAGTGGAAGAGGAGGAGGAGGAAGAAAAAGCTTAAGATCAGCACTCAGAGAATTGAAATCTCACCTTGATTTCCCCTCAGGCTATGAGAACTAATCTCAGTCTAATAACCAAGCTTCTAACAATCTCCTAACTCTATTCAGATCTTTGAGTCAAGAACACAGATCTTTCCAGCAATCTTAGTGTGTATTGAAATTCCACTGTTGTTAAACTCCAGTTTAACAGCTGCACTTCAGTGACCTGCTTTCCAGCGGCTGCCCGGTTCTCATGTACAATGTGTTCCCAAGCTACAAAACATTTGATTTGTACAGATTGTGCAAAACCCAGCTGTCCAGAGTTCATCCTGCATATTTCAAGTCAGTTTCCCCTTCCTTACCTTCAGCTGTTTCTGCAGCTAACAATCCACACAGGATGATGCTGGGTGGTGGGGTGAGAAGGGGAGCAGAGAGAAGACAAGGTGGGGTGGATCACACACAGGAGGGAGAAGAAGGTCACAGGCTCTCAGCCCCCCCCCCCCCCCAGGCCCTGCGCTGTGTGGGAAGAAAACCCCATGGTCACAGGAGACACCTGGACCAGCCATGGGAACTTGGGAGTGGTACTTACAATACGAAGGTGCAGAGCCCGCAGGCACACTCATGAAAAGGTGGTTGGAGAAGTGACCTTCGCTGGGTGGATTCTTGCCTCTGGCTGGCTTTCTGAGGGGTAGGCTCCCACAGTTGGGGCAGGGGAGGGAGGGGTGGCCGGAGGCTGAGCCCCTGATCTGAGGGCTCTGCTTCCATTCACAGTAAACAACTCTGAACTTTGCTGACTGATGTCACTTCTCAGCTGATTTCACTTTCGGTTCTTCTCTCCCTTGGTGGCCCGTGACTTTTCAGAAATGAGGAATGAAAACAATTTGGTACTCCCCAGAAGACACGAGCCTACCCCCCACCCCCTCCCGACCTGAGCTGGCACGAGGTGCTGTGCCCAGCCCCAGGTAAGAGGGAGAGTTACCTCCCAAAGTGACTGCAGGACGGAAAGTAGATGCCCGAGTCTCAGAACTCCCTGTGATTTGAACTGCAGAATCAACACAACCTAGAAAGAATAATAATGATAATAGATAAACCGTACTAGACATTTGCCCCCCTCCTCCCCCCAGGATTCTTGCCTGCCCCACAAATGCGACCCAGGTCACCTCCCTTCTTCTGGGAGAGCAATGCCATCTGCTTTCTGTTTTCACGGATCAGTTTGAGAAACAAAATGCTGTCCCAATACATTAGCCTTCCCACTGGGTGATGAGACCCAGATTAGAATTTCTGGAACATCTATTTCATTGCAAAGCAAAAGGAAGATTTTTTATTGATTTGTTTTCATTTTTAAATTGTAGAATCTCTTGGCCAAAGGTTAAAAATTACTTTCTTTACTGAACATCACCACTGGAACTTAACTTTTCCTGTTTCTCTTTTTACTTGGTTTTTTTTGTGCTGGTCCTGGGGCTAGAATTCAGGGCCTTGAGTGCTGTCTCAGAGTTATTATTTTACTTTATTTTTTACTTAAGGCTAGCTTTCTCTCTACCACTTGAGCCACAGCTCCACTTCTGCCTGTTTTGTTTTGTTTTTTAAATTGCTTATTGGCGATAAGCATCTAAGGGACTTTCCTTCCCCGGGCTGGCTTTGAACCGCAATCCACAGATCTCAGCCTCCTTGGGTTACAGGCATGAGCCACCAGAGGCGTTGGCTTCATTTTTGTTAATTTGCATTAAATTTTGGGAATTAAACCCAAGGTATTGGAGATAATAGGGACTCACTGGACCACCAAGTTACACCCTTAGCCTTAACCAGTGGAAATTTCCTAGGGGCTGGAAGTGGGGTGGGGGGGTGGAGGGGTTAAGCTTGATTCAATCAAGACATCGCAACCTAATAATGCTTCTCCATTGTTTTTCTTTCTTTCCACCCTGGGCACCCTAGAACAAGTGAAATCTGACCCTCCCCCCAACTTCTTTGCCTTTGTGCTGTTAGATCTCTATCTCCTTTATTTTTCTCATCATTGTTGATGTTGGTAGAGTAAATCTGCAGGTACTTTCTCAGAAATGGTTGCACTAAAGTTGTTTTTGGTTGTTGCTGTTGAGAACTTACAAAATGGAAAATACCTTTATTAAATTTTTTTTATTGTTAAGGTGATGTACAGAGGGGCTACAGTTATATAGGTCAGGTAATGAGCAAAATGGAAAGTATCTTGATTCTAACTCTCTAATTTGCTGTTGGGGGCTGAATATAGCCATTTGGTTCAACAGAATTTTCCTTTATGATTCTGAGGATCTTGCTTCATTCTCTTTTAGGGTCCTTGTGATTGTTGAGAAGTTAAAAGTCATTCTTCACTTCCAAAGCTATCTCTTCTCTAATGGCCATCCTTCCAGCTTTTCGCCTTATACAACTTTAAAAGAAATCATTTGGGTGAGGTTTGGGGGAGGCAAAAAATAAAATGTGTATTCAATTTTCACTTGGAAATCTAAAATATTTCCTTGTCTTCTTTCTTGTTCTCCCCCGACCCCACCCTGCCTCCCCAGAGCTATTCTTTACTTTCTTGCTCACTGCTGGCTGCTTTTATTCAGCTCCTCTTAATGGCTTCATCCCAAAGTCTAGACGGCACCTGTAGCCTTGGACTTCCCCAGCAGGGGTTCCTCAGTAGGCTATTTTCTTTGTTCTTGTGGTAGGCCTCTCCCCAGGACCTGCTTTCTGAGTCATTGCGCTGGAGCTAACTTGACCGTAGTGCTTCCTTCCTTCCTTTTTTTTTTTTTTTTTTTTTTGGCCCTGTACTAGGGCTCTTGAACTTAGAGCCTGGGCACTGTCCTTGAGCTTTTGTGCTAAAGGATAGCATCCTACCACTTGAACCACAACTCTACTGCTGTCTTCTTCCTTCCTTCCTTCCTTCCTTCCTTCCTTCCTTCCTTCCTTCCTTCCTTCCTTCCTTCCTTCCTTCCTTCCTTCCTTCCTTCCTTCCTTCCTTCCTTCCTATCTCAGCCTTCTGAATATCTGGGATTACAGGAGTGAGCCACTGCCCCCATAACCCCCCAGGCTAGTGCTTGCTTCTTTAAGAGTGACCAGTCTGAAGCAATAGCCTTCTCAGCTAGACTTTTCTTTATTCTATAAAAGAGCTGGGGCAAAGGTGACCCACGCTCCAATATTCTGAGTTGCTGAGCCTTTGGTTGCAGTACCATCCCCCAACTCTTGGCCACACCCCTCAGAGCTGAGTCTCACCCATTGAACTTCAGGGAAGGGAGTGAGTCACAGCACAGTGCCCCAGCCCTCTCTGTTCTTCCCAGGATTCAGAAAAAAAAAATTCTTGAATGAACTTGACTTTGCTACATATAAGGACACTTTCTTCAGAGTTTAAAGAATTTTCTGTCCATTATACTTTTTACCAGTTTTGTTATTTCACTCTCAAATAGGAAAGGAAACTCTAGAATTCCCATTCTAGAATTTGATATTTTTCATGTTTTTATATTTTAAGAATACTTTGTTTTTAGAGTAGTTTTAGATCAATAGAAAAACACAAGGTTTTCTCCTGTTTATCGTTTAGGATCTTTACAGCTGCATTTCACATTAAGCTCTATGATACACTTCGAGTTCATGTTTGTGAAAATATGTAAAGTCTGTGTCCGGATCCTTTTTTTTTTTTGCATACAGATGTGCAGTTTTTCCGTCACCAGTTGTTGAAAGGACTGTCTTTGCTCCATTGTGTTGTCTTTGATTTTTTTGTTTTTTGTTTTTGGTGCCCTTCCTGAAGCATGAATTTAGGGCCTGGCTGCTATCCATGAGCATTTGTATTCAAAGCTTGTGCTCTACCACTTGAGCCACAGCTCCCCTTCTGGCTTTTTGTAGTTAACTGAAGAGTCTCGGGAACTTTCCCACCCTGGCTTTGAGCTACTATCCTCCGTTTTCAGCCGCCGGAGTAGCTAGGATTACAGGCATTCAACACCCATTTTTGGTTGTCTTTGATCCAGTTGGCTATATTTATAAAGATCTCTTCCTCGTCTATTTTGATCTATTTATCTTTTTGTCAATAGAGACACTCTAATGTCATAGCTTTGTAGTAAGTCTTGAAGTCAGGTACTATTGTCAGTCCTCTGATTTTGTTTTTATCATTCCATATTGTGTTAGCTGTTTGAGCATTTTGGCTTTCCATATAAATTAGAGTCAGTCTGGGATTATGATTGGAATTGATCTGTAGGTCAGGTTGAGAAGAATCAATATCTTAACAATATTTAGCTTTCCTGTCCATGAACATAGGATATCTCTCCATTGATTTCTTTCAACAGAATTTTATAATTTCCCTCATGCAGATTTTGACACATTTTGTTAGGTTTATCCCTAGCTATTTGCTTTCTGGGTACTAATGTGATGTTACTGTGATTTACCTTTCCAAAATAATGGTTTATTGCTGGTATATAAGGCAGCAATGTCTTTTTGTATAGTAATATTTACGTTTCATTTGCTGTGATAAAGTGTCAGAGAAAAATCAGATCATATGGAGGAAAGATTCATTTTGGTTCAGAGTTTTGGAAGTTTCTGCTCCTATTTATTTGGCCCTGTTTCCTTGGGTCTTTATGAAAGAGAATGGTATGCTAGAAAATTAAATTTAAATATCGTAAAATAAGGTGCGGAGATGGAGAAGGGACCTCCTACTCTAGGCAAAGCATCATAACAGGTATTTGTATCAAATAATAAAGGATAAGGACAAAGGGCAAGGGCAAGGACCAAGGTCATTGTCTAGAAAATACTACTTTACTCCTCAGTCTTTCAAGAAACTGGTTTATTGCTTTGATTATCATTCACAAAGATGTTTAACTTCAGAGTTTATACCCTCAAACTTTCAGGCCCTGGGAAGTTCAAATGATTCTTCCCAGAATTAATGATCAGGATTTCCACAGGGTGTAGTCCTTTTCCTTGATCTGTGAGAATAAGAGTTATGAGTGTTCTTACTGGCTACAGAGGGTGAGAAATGTTGGGCCCAAAGTTGGGGGCTCCTCTGGAGACTAAGATACCCCCTCCCCAGCATTTATTTTTATCATTTTATTTTATTTATTTATTTATTTATTTTTGGATCCGGTCATGGGGCCTGACCTTTGGGCCTGGGCGCTGTCCCTCAGCTCTTTAGCTCAAGGCTAGCGCTCTACCACTTGAGCCACAGCGCCACTGCCGGCTTTTTTCTTTTTGCTTATGTGGTGTTGAGGAATCGAACCCAGGGCCTCAGGCATGCAAGGCAAGTGCTCTACCACTGAGCCACCTTCCCAGCCCTATTTTATTTTATTTTTATTTTACTTTTTGTCGGTAGTGGGCTTGAAGAGCACTGTCTCTGTGCTCTTCAGCTCAAGGTGAGAGCTCTACCGCTTGAGCCACAGTACCACTTCTGGTTTTCTAGTGGTTAGAGATAAGAATCTCATGGACTTTTCTGCCAGGGCTGGCTTTGAACCGTGATCCTCAGATCTCAGCCTCCTCAGTAGCTAGGATTACAGGCATGAGCCACCAGCGCCTGGCTGAGCTTTTTTTTTTTTTTTTTTTTTTGGGTCGGTCGTGGGGCTTGAACTCTGGGCTTGGGCGCTGTCCCTCAGCTCTTCAGCTCAAAGCGAGCGCTCTACCACTTGAGCTACAACGCCACTTTTTTTTTAAATTGAGGAGATAGCTATTTTCCCCAAAACATAAAGCTTCCTGTGGAAATCTGTGGTTAGGATTCTTTGAAAATACAGCATTTACTTACCCTTAACATTGCATGGTTTCTCCTGAACTTCTTCAGCTACTGGAGATACCAACAGTGGGTTGCTCTGAGGACTTCCGGGCTCTCTCCTTCCCAGGAGGCGTTGACTGGCACCTTTTATGCCTTGCCCACACCATCCCCTCAGGCTGCTTAGCCTCAGCCTGTGCAGGATGCCATTGGAGACTCAAGGCAGGATGACTGTTTTCTCACTACATCCATTTCTGACTTACCTGCCTAGTGTACTTCTTCCTTAGCTCATAATTCAGGAATTCCTCCCAGTGCTCTCTGCCTTACACAATACAAAGGTGCTTACTTGTTCCAGAGTATCCACATGAATAAATGTCTGGAGAAGTCCGGGCATCATATGTGGCAAAAGAAAGTCCTAAAGATTACCTGGGTTTTAGGTGGGTCTTGCCATCTTACCCACCCAAAAGCATCATCTAAGGATTCGGAGTCATTAGACTGAAAACAACTATGTATATTCATCCAGCTAGCAAAGTATGATTTTGATGAATAAAATTACTTTTTAAACCACAACCTGTGCTTTTCAGTGTCATTGTGTGCCAATTTGGTCTCTGCAATTGCCATCTTTTAATATACACATATATATGTACAGATCAAGGTAGTACATAGTCAAGAACTAATTTGTGTGCCTCCAACTAATAAAGAATATATATTATTGCATATGTAATATGTACAATACATATTATATATTCTAGTATTGTATAATATATGAATGTTACAAATATTATTTATTATTGCTTATAAATAACACATGTTATGTATTAGTTATGAATGATTAAATATATATTACCTGTATGTTATTATTATTTTAAGGTTCACCCTAGGAAGGGGAGGCAGGCTCCTCTCTCCTCTCTGCTAAGCCTCTGCCCAGTACCTGTGTCATCTAAGTAACTGGCACACCTGGAGGCCACACCCTGGGCTGCCTGCCCTCCTCACACTTCCATCAGATGGGGGGGGCAGGCCCTGAGGTCATGTCCGAATCCAGTGGCCACCCTTTCCCTCACCTGGCCACACCTTAAAGCCCTTCCCTATTTAAACCCAGGTCAGACCTCAGCCCTGCCCTTTTGGCCATGCCTCTTCACCATGCATGGTGGGGGCAGCATTTCAGTAAATAAACTTTTCCTGCCGGAATATCATGTGGCATACTCTATAGGCTACCTAATTAAACCTAGCATGTTTAATTTACCTTACAATTATGTCATTTATAATTATATAATAATAATATAACAGTTGGAGGTACACAAATTAGTTTGTATACATTATATAAATATGTTTTTATATAGTATAAATATATTTTGCACTAGTTGGAAGTACATAAATTAGTACTTGACTATATACCACTTTATTCTGTCAATAGTTTATTTGGCTATGTTTCATGTGAGTGAATAACAAATAAAAATTATAGGGCTGGGAAGGTGGCTCAGTGGTAGAGCGCTTGCCTTGCATGCATGAGGCCCTGGGTTCAATTTCTCAGCACCACATAAGCAAAAAGAAAAAAGCCGGAAGTGGCGCTGTGGCTCAAGTGGTAGAATGCTATGTTTGAGCTGAAGAGCTGAGGGACAGCGCCCACGCCCAGAGTTCAGGCCCCACGACCGGACCCCCCCCAAAAAATTATAATTTTCTATGTGGAGGAATGTCTTTTTATACCTCTTTCACCCTGCCCCTAGCACACGAACTCTATTACAGAAACTCTGGAAATGGTGCTTGTTGACTGAAAGAGGCTATCAGCAATGTAAAAATCCCCAAGAGTAGACCTCATTTTTCCTTTGAGTTCCTAGTTTTTTTGGTGTGACTTGCATAAGTAGTTTTGAAAGAAATAAAAAAAATTTAGTTTTTTTTCCATGTTGACAAAAATTAAATATTAAAGAATTTAAATATGAAATTAGCTATAAAATAAAAGTATGAAGATGGCTGTCTAATGAGAAGCTTAGTCTCAACTATGAAATTAAATATAAAATACCAATTAAATATGAAGATGATGGCTGTCTAATTTGAAGTTTAGTATCTGCATCTGCACGTGAAGAGGGAGGGCTAGGAAAAGACAGTGTGCTGTTTTCTCTTTACTAGGTCAGCCTGTGATAGCTGTCATTCATTCACAGCCTTCAGAGCAGCATACAGCGGGGTTAACTGTTCTTTAGAACTTCAGGTGGAGGTTGAGCGCTGCGATGCTCTGCTGCAGCTTCTCCTCATGTTTGGGTAGATGCTGAAAGCTGTGCTGGTTTGACTCTGCAGTCTAAGACTGTCACTATTGACAAGCTCTGCATCTGTTTCCGAAGTTGCCAGGGCCGTCTCCGATTTGTTGCTGAAAGGTTTCACATCTTTGGTTTTTGTGGCCCAGGCTGGGGAGTGCTTTTTCCTCTCTTTTGGGTCTTTGGGGGGTGACAAATCTTCCAGGGACCGCTGGGATGCAGACTGGAACCATTCGGAGTCACTGGTTGCAATTGTTTTTTGCGTTACAAAAGGGGAATTTCTGAGTCCTGTGCATGATTTTCTAGAGCCTTTTAGATCTGGGCAAGTAGCTGGATTTATTCTAGAAAAGAAATAAATATGTAAGTGTTTTAACCCAACGTCTAGCTTACTAGGTAGCTACTAGGTAGTGTATGAGGACTAGGAACAGGCCGCATTTTTTCTCTTCAGTGAGTTTGTCAACCTTTAAAAACTTTTCACCATCTTTATGACAGCAACCTAAGTCTTCATCTTGATTTTTTCTAGCACTGCTTAATCTTGTGTTTCTAAATTCCCAGAAGTTATGTTTATTTGAATATCAGGCCTGATCCCAGCCTTCCTGATTTAACGAATACTTAGCTACTTACCTACATACCTGTTTATTAGAATACATTCATTATGCATGCTATAAGACTTTCTTTTTCAGTCATTAACCAGGTCAGTAGCCCTAAGGAATGAGTTTACCCAAGAGAGGAAGAGATATTGGACAAGCATGATAGCTTATACACATAATCCCAAACTACTTGAGTGGTAGAGATTTGGAGGATCACAATTCCAAGCCAGCTCAGGCAATAAACAAACAAACAAACAAACCTCCATCTCAACGAAATAAACAGGGTAGTACACAGTGTAAGCCCACCTATGGAGTAGGTATAGGTAGGAGAATCACGGCCTGAGGGCAGCCTGGACAAAACTGTGAGCAGACCCTGTTTGAAAAGTACCAAAAGCAAAAAGGAACCAGGCATTCGTTACTCAAGTAGCAGAATGCCTGCCTAGCAAGCATTCGAGCCTGAGATCACTACCACACACAAAGGAATCAAAGAGTGAGAGCATCTGTACATTATTCTGAAGAAATAACAGAAGCAAGTTTGAATGCACCCGTGACATGTTCTGGATCTCACTGTGTCCACAGTAGGCTTGAACTTAACATCCTCTTGCCTCAGCCTTCCAAGGTGCTAGAATTACAGGCCTGTACCTTCCATAACTGACCATTACATATTTAGTTTTCAAAAGCAGCTTCCAACAGTATATGAGATATCCATTTTCTCTGCATCCTCAACGGCGTTTGGTAATGTTAATTTTACTTTGGCAGTGATACAGCTCATTGCATGTTTAAACATCTTTCCATATGGATAGGTACCATATGTAAATGTTCACTTCAGTAAAATGTCTATTCCTGCTTTTGCCTGTTTTCCAAATGAAATGCTTGAGTTGGGGAGTTTTTTTTTTTAAATCTAGGTACTAGTTTTTGTTCATGTTTGCTAGTGTTTTTGCCCATTTTTTATTTTGGTGAAATCCAGCTTATTCATTTTTCCTTTTATGAATTGTACTTTTAGTTTTAAGTATAAGAAATCTATTTTTTTGCCAGTCCTGGGGCTTAAACTGTCCCTGAGCCTCTCTGTGCTCAAGGCTAGCTCTCTACCACTTGAGCCACAGCACCAAGTTTGGCTTTTCTGTTTATGTAGTACTGAGGAATCGAACCCAGGGCTTTGTGCATGCTAGGCAAGCACTCTACCACTAGGCCACATTTCCAGCCCCTGTGATCCGTTTTGAATTAATATTTTTTTTTTTTAAGGTATGAGTTTAAGTAAAGCTTCCAAGTTTTTTGGACCTGTGAATGTCTAGTTGTTCCATAGGCTTTTGCTATAAAGCCATCTTTATACCATTGGATTGCTTTTGCATTTTTGTTAAAATCAGCTGAATATATTTGTATGGGCTATTTCTTGGATCCATTCATGTCTATTCTTAGGTCTATGCATCCTCCAAGACTACATTATATTACTGTGGTATGAAAGATCATAAAATCAGATAGGCTTGTTTCTACCATGTACTGTTTCTCAGAATTGTTACTGCTGGTATAGTGCCCTGGCATAGAAATTTTCAAATAATCTTGTTTATATCTATAAACAGCCTTGCTGAGATAGGCTTGGGGGTGGCTGGCTCAGTGGTGGGATACTTAGCTGCAGTCTGAGTTTGATTCCTAGCAGCACAAATGAATGAATGAATGAATGCGTGCAAGAATGATATAGAATTGTATTGACTTACTGATGTTGGATCTTGAAGTTGGTTTTGGGGTTGAATAGATTTTTTATCTGAGTTTTTTCTATTTGTCTAGGGCTTTCCATGATAGGGAGCAAATATTCCAATATTTCTGTAGTTTGAGCTATTTTTTTATCCCTGTAGATTGTTTTTTCGTCATCTGTCCAATTCATGCCAGTCTTTTTGCTTTGGGAAGCTGTACATTCTTTTACTTCGCTTTTGGAGTTGTGATGCGCATCTGGGGAACAACCACACATAGAAAAATAGAGACATTTGAACTACCTTTATTCAGCCATTCTATATTTATACAATTATCTACCATGGATTTCAATCTAAAAGTCTTTCCCATTGGACTTTATACTCTCAACTTTATACTTTAATAACAGTGGGCAGAAAAACAAATAACTAAATATTTAGTATTCAGATAACAGTAAAATTTATATTAAAATAAAGCTGTGGGGGAGGGGAATAGAGGATTCTTGGAGGATATATATTGATTTCCATTTTTAAAATGGCAGTAAGGGAGCTAGGGGCTGGTGGCTCAGACCTGTAATCCTAGCTACTCTGGGGGCTGAGATCTGAGGATAACAGTTCGAAGCCAGCCTGGGCAAGAAAGTCCATGAGAGTCTCATCTCCAATAAACTATTAAGAAAAAGCTGAAAGTAGTGATGTGGCTTAAATGGTAGAACACAGAAAGAAGCTCAGAGATAAGCATCCAGGCCCTGAGTTCAAGCCCCAGGACTGGCAAAAAAAAAAAGCCAGTAAGAGAAGACTTCCCTGTGAAGCTGATCATGCATTTGAGTTATGAAGTATGTCAAGAAAATATCAGAGGAAAGAACATTCTAGACGATAAACAGTAAGTGGAAAGGCCCTTCACTGAGGCAGCATCATGGCAGGGTGTTAAGCAGAATGAATGAAGGAACAAACTATGTAATCTGAAGGCCACTTGAATTCAACTCCCATGGGGGCTCCTCATTCACGGGAAGGATTTCCATTTCTATTGACTACGTAATGTGAAGGTTTGGAGATGGGGTGTGTGTTACAGTCTGAGATTTGCTTCTCACTGAGTTGAGGATGGACTAGAACAAGCAAAGATTTCCAGAGGGAGATCTTTTGGAAGGTATCTAGAGGCAACATAGGAGAATGGTTGGTAGTCTGGATCAGTAGGTGCAAATGGCTAGAAGGGTAAGAAGTGTGGTAGGGTCCTAGCTAACTTTTGAGGTCTTCTAAAGAAATGAATGTGAGATGAGAGAGTAAGAACAGAATCAATGGAGGCTCCAAAGCTTCTGAGCTGAGGGAATAGAAGGAGTTATGGGGAGGTTGTAGGACGAGTAAGTTAAAAGGGCATGCATGCCTTCTGTGTGTGTGTGTGTGTGTTGGTATTGCGGCTTGAACTCAGGGCCTACCATTCTCATTTGCCTTTTTCATTCAGGGCTAGTACCCTACCATTAGATCCACATCTTCAGCTCTGGCTTTTTGTGAGATGAGTCTTACAGACTTGGAACTATGATTCTCAGATCACAGCCTCCTGGTAAAAAACAATCTGATTTGTGGAGCTTGCTTTAAAATACTCCAGGAGAGCAGAATCTTGGACAACTACAGTCACAATATTCAATGTACTTAGGCGAAAATAGAACCAGGTAACTTGCGAGGATGGCTGGAGTTGGGAGAGACGGGACAATGAAGGAGTAACACTGCTCAAGATGCGTTGCGCTCATAAATTGATGTGTTGAATTGAAACTGCTTTGGACAATTACAGACAATAAAATAAACTAAAAATACTCTAGGAAAAATGTGGTGAGGAGAATAGAAATCAGAGTAGCAGGAAACTGATAAGGGTGGATGATGGATATCAGGGAACTCATTATTCTCTACTCTGCTTTTGTTTATGTTGGAAAACTTCCACAACAGTTTATTTTTAAAAAGGAATCGTCTGTTATTAAAAGGAAAATAAACAGAAGACTATAGCACTCACTGAGTTGAACTAAACCTGAAAGACGATGAAAGGGACAATGTATGACTACAATCTTTGGTGTCACTGGAAAATGCCATGACTTTATCTATCTGTAGTGTCTTCAGAAGCTATTCCCAGGCTACTCAGCCACAGAACACTTACTACATATATAGCTGTCACTAGGTTTGGCTTGACAAGTAAATCTGAAAAGAATAGCCCTTGTTTTCAATATACTAAAAGTCAAGATGAGAGAAGAACATAAAGGTGTCCATTAGGATTGATTTCTATAGGGAAAGAGCTTGCCAGTTAGCTTGTTTACCGGAACAGAGGGTAATGGATGAAGAAAGCTTTCTGAACTAAGTTGTATCTTGATGGTTGAGCAAGTCACTGAGTAGAAAGGAGGATAGTGATTAGGATGGAGGAGCGCAACTGGGAGATAACAGCTCTGGATGAGAGTGGCTCATCTATCAGGTAAGCATGCAGAAGGGGTCCAAAACTGAGGTCTTGCTTGAGATGATAATACTTTCAAGAGATTCTCTGAGATAGGCATGCTTTGTGACTGGTAGAAGCTTAATACAAATGTGTTTGCCATTGAATATTGGTGGGGCACTGAATTTGTTGGTTGGTCGTAGAGCTTGAACTCAAGGCCTGGTCACTGTCCCTGAGCTTCTTTTGCTCTAGGCTAGTGCCCTACCACGTTGAGCCACAGCTCTACATCTAGTTTTCTGATGGTCAACTGGAGATAAGAGTCTATAACAGCCTTTCCTGCCTGGGATGACTTTGAACAATGATCCTCAGATCTCAGCCTCCTGAGTAGCTAGGATTAAGGTATGAGCCACAGCACCCAGAAGGCCCTGAGAATTTTTGTTCAAGGAAACGGTATACCAGATCTGAGTTTTTAAAATCACACTGATAGGCAGGTGGATGGCAGGCAGGCCAAAGAGAGTGACAATAAGTTGGCTAGACAAGTTAGGAGGCAAATGCAGGAATTCAAGGGAGGCAACAAAGGTCTCAGGTAGAGCAGTGCATTCTGGTGGTGAGAGGAGGTTCAAGAGGATCTTTAGGTATGAACTAGATAAAGCTTCCAAATGTTAGATACCCTACAGGTGTGTAGAAATTCAATCGTGAGAAAGGACAAATTTCCTTGTGGAAGAAACTGGCTGTTAACAAAGATATGACATTTTAGAGAATAATGCCCACCTTAAATGCAATTATTATATGACAAGAGAATAACATCATATATGTATATACATATATCCTTTCTAAAAGTGCTTTGCTTTAGTAAAAAAAGAAAACTGCAGAATTTTTATGAGTATTTTTACCAAGATTCAACAAGACATTTCTCTATACAATAGTCAAGAAGAGATGGGAAGCAAACCTCAGAAAAGACAGGGAGGGCCTGAAAAGCCAATGTTTTCATTGAATAATCTTGTGGAGACAGATGTGGCACCACAACAACAACACTTTATAAAGCAAGCAAGTGAACAAAGGAAACTTATAACAAAAAACTTCATAGCAAAATTTTGTAAATATGACCCCTCTCAGCTTTTTCTCCTCCATTCTAAAACACATTCCAGTTACGCTGCTGCTGCCTGCAGCGTTGTTTCCCTGAACACCCTCTGATCAGAATCCCCAAGAATCTCTTATGTTGTAAATTTCACTAGTCAGCCTGCTTTGATCGGCCAATCAGAAGCCTCAGAAACAGCTGTTTACAAAAACAGCTCCCATCATTCAGGTTTTAAGATTTATTAATGATGTTACAGTATTTATTAAAAATATTAAACAATATTTTCTTTTTTTTAAAAAAAACCTGTTGGTTTGCATGTCTTCTCTATCCAACTGGAAGGCTGATTGCTCCCAGGACACTTCAGGGATGTCACTTTGAGACAGTTTTCATAAAAGTCAGTTCCATGGAACTCAAGTGCTGTCTGGATGGGCGTCCTATAGGTTTTCAACAAGTGTCTTTCTTGGTCTTTGCTAAGACTCTTTATCATGCTTTTGGAGCTGAAAGAAATTGAAGACTCTGAGGTCAGTGTCGGCAGGGTTGTGCTCATGCAAAGAGCATATAATTCCATGTTCTATTTGTATGTTAACTCTCAGGGTGTGCATCTACTTAGAGTTCTCCCCAGTCCTGTGATATAGGACAGGGTGGCCACTGCGATTCCCATTTTACTGAAGGGGAATGGAACACATGAGTGTTAGAGACAGCAGCAAGTCCTAAAGTTTCCCCTTTTAACTCCAGTATGTTTTCTTCCTTCTTTTTCGTAAGGATACTGGAGTTTGCACTCAGGGCATTATTCTTGCTGAACAAGAGCCTTACGACTTAAGTCAGATCCTCAGCTTAGCTTTGCCACTTGATTTATATCTCTAGCTTTTTTAGTTTTCATCACTTTGTTTTTTTTCCCTAGAGTCTTGCCTTTTTGTTGGGGGGAGGGGTGCAGCTGGCCTGGATTGCAGTCCTCTTATTTACATTTCTTGCGTAGTTAGGATGATAGGCACAGCTTTTTTTTTTTTTTTGATTGAGATGAGAAGGGGGATCTTCTAATTTTTCCTGGGCTGGCCTCAATCCTCTCAATACTAGCCTCCTGAGTAGCTAGGATTATAGGCCCAGCTTAACTCTGGTACTTTTTCTATTACTTTCTCTTATCTTGATATAACATTGGATTTCTTCCCATATGACATTCTAAATAGCTTAAAAATAAATCTCCTCTTTAGAATGGTATATCTAGATCCAAAGTATGGGTGTGCCTAGTGCTGCCTCCAATACTGCTCTTGTCCCTAATTTTTTAGATTTAGGGGGCTAAAAGAGTCCCATCTTTTGATAAGAACCACTTCATTCAACAGAAACCAAACTCTTAGGATAGAAGCCAACTTCAGTGCAATTCTCAAGCGCCATAGGGATCTATTTACACACGGCTCAGATCGTTATTTGGATCTATTTACACACGGTTCAGATCGTTATTTATACCCATGTGCCTGAGAACAAAGAACCTTGCCAAGTATGACAGAGAGACATAATAATGACTGGTTCAGACAGAATCACAAATGAATTGAAAAATTCATTTTTCAGTTTTTAGGTGCTAGTTTTATCCCTTCATGGCCAATGTTTGAGACTGCTATAAGACCTAAATGTTTTGTTGCTGGCCATTCATGCATTCTAAAGTGCTACGTAAATTATGCCAGAAAGTCTTCTATTTTGTCATCCAAGCTATGTGAGAGGCTGAGATTGGGAGGATCATGGTTTCAGGCAGCCAAGGCAGAAAGGTCCAGGGACTTTCTCAATGGAAGAAACTGTACCTGACGGAAGTATTGGATATCCCTGCTATGACAGGGAGCATCAAATAGGTGGATCACATTCCAGGCAAGAACCCAGGCAGGAAGAGAGATTCTATCTCATAAATAATCACCATGAAAAAGGTCTGGAGGTATGGCTCAGTGGTAGAGTGCCCACCAAGCAATCCCAAAGCTCTGAATTCAAACCTTCATACAACCAGAAATAAGAAAGAAATAGAGACTCGCTATGTAATGACTAATTCATATATCTGTAGCTCTTAAGGTATCCACTAGGGATGATTTGAGGGTATTGAAATGTCAGAACCCAACAAAATGCATCTATGGGTATATTTACATAGAAAAGTAACCTAGACACAGATAACGTAGACTGTAAAGAGATAGTCAACTAGCAAATGGTTGTTAAAAAGAAGTCATTTTAACTGATGCTTTAATTTTAAAAAATATTATAATACAGAAGAAAATAGAGTAAGTAGTCTGGTAGAAGAAATCATATGCTGCTCTCTTACCTCAAATATGTTTTTAGGAGACAATTAGAGGCTTTTCTAGCTGTTCTTGCTAAAAAAAAAAAAAGAGAGAGAGAACATGCCATAAAATATCTGCAGTTTAAAAATCAACAACACTTATTGTTATCTTGTTGACAATTGTTTTAGTCATGAACTTAATGGTTAGCTGAGTCAAGCTTATTTTTAGTTGGCATAGTATTGTCTTAGTCACATACATGAAATACATAGTACCTATCTCTTATTTTATCTTCATTTTTTTTTTTTTTTTTTGTACGTTGTAGGGCTTGGACTCAGGGCCTGGGCGCTGTCCTCAAGCTCTTTTGCTCAATGCTGGTTCTGTACTACTTTGAGCCACAGTGCCACTTTTTTTTTTTTTGGTGGTTAATTGGAGATAAGAGTCTCCTAGACTTTCCTCCTGGGGAAGACCCTCAGATCTCAGCCTCCTGAGTAGCTAGGATTACAGCTGTGAGCCACTGGCATCTGGCTTATATCTCTTTTAATTAAACATTTTCTACTGAGGAATAGAAATACCCATCTAGTAACTCAATCAATGAAAACTGAATCCAGTATGCTATGATCTGTGGAGGATGTCTACATGAACATTAAAGTGACGAACTTTTTAGAAAGCCAATCTAGGATGCAGATATATCAAAATAAGTAAAAAAGGATAATGTGTTCTAAGTAATTATACATAAATATTATTTTAATTTAAAATAGTTCAAACTTATGTATTATTTGCTTTGCCTATAAATGTATATGTATATTATTAATTAAGCAAAACAATAGGACTAGTTAACAGAAGCAATCATTAAAGTAGAACAAAGTAAACAATATATGTGAGAAAATTCTTATATTTCTTCTGATACAGATTTTAACTCTTTGTGATTCAGATTTTGTAAGCTACAGTATTGCATAATTCAGATATACAAGACCTTTTAAATGGTGAATATAAATACAGAAGAGCTAATTAAACTGATGTTATATATATGACAAATTAACAATGACATGTTGCTTTCAGGTTGTTTTTTTCTGTTTCCTTTTCCAATAATATCTCAGAAGTCTACTTTTCTTCCTTTTTTATGTTTTCTTCTTTTTTGTGTTGTTACTGGGGCTTGAACTCAGGACTGAGGTGCTGTTCTTTAGCTTTTTTGCACAAGGCTGCTGTTCTACCACTTGAGCCACAGGCCCACTTCCAGCTCTTGGGTGAGTTAATTGGAGATAAAAGTTTCTCAGGCTTTTCTGCCAAGGCTGGCTTCAAACTTCAATCCTCAGATTTCAGACTCGTGAACAGCAAAGATTACAGGCATGAGCTAAAGCACCCAGCACCACATACTTTTCCTTATTTATTTCCCTAAGTAGTTTTATGTGTCGTTCTACTTGCCATTAAAATAACATAGACATTTATTTATTCCTCCCCACTCAGGTTGAACTGGTTTGACCCACTACTAATGTAATACCACTGACACTAGATCTCTTTCATTATCTGGATTCTTAGAGCACACTCACTGGGTACAGAAATCAGAAAAGTTGATAGGCCATATATTCGGACTGGTTTTCCCTATGTATTTCTATAACTAGAAAGAAAAATAAGTATTACGTTTCAGAATTTCTGAGAAGGTGAATTACTTGACTACCTGATTTTTTTATTTTCACTTTTTTTTAGCCTACCTTCTTAGTTATACAAGGAAGATTTCATTGTTACATTTCTAGACATGTTTAAAATATATTCCACTCACTTGATGACCTGATTTTAAAGTGACATCACAGTTCCTTAGATGTGGATCTTGATCTATGACATTTTATTCTATGGCTCTCACTCAGAGGGTATTCCTGTTTTACTCACCCAAACTTTGATTAGGCAATGGTCTTCTGAAAAAATTAATAATACAGTCATCTAACCTTGCATCTAGAAAAGATGGTGAAACATCATAATACCATAAAGGTAACTTGTTTATTGATGTTTCTTAGTTTTCATAGTACTTTAAAATAAAAATGCTAACAATGTGTAGTTGTTTAGCTGGATGGAATTAATATAAACAGTCTTCAAATACAAATATTTGTTATGAATATGCATAACTTGTGGGCTAATAATCCTCATTCTGGGATTTTATCAGGAGATATAATTCAGAATGTAGGCAAATGGGAATTTCGCTGTTTTCATTGTTCGTAATTGCTGAAGTTAGAAGTAAAAGTTTACAATGAAGTAGCTGAGAAAGATTCATTAATAGAGTGGAGTGGCTTACTGCCACTTATTTGCATGTAAAAAGGTGTATAATGTTCTGTAATTTTAAATGAAAAAGAAGGGTGCACAATAACAAGACAATTTTGTGACCATTAACATTTGAATTATTCTTCTAAATCTATATATGTGTTTTTTGACAAACAATGTAAAATAGTTTAAAATGTGCTTTTGAGGTAACTTTAGTAATCTTTAATTTTTAACAGTAAAACTTTTCACAAAGTCATGTATAAAAATTACCTATTAAAAAGTGGCTGAATTGCTTGGTTGATCACTATCAGACAAGTAAAGTTCAAGTAAAGCTCAAGTTAATTAACCATCTTAATTAGAACAGAATCTCCCCTTGGTTGTGGTTTTATTTCCATTTATATTTTTAAATTATCCTGCTGTTTCATAGAACAAATGAATCTATATAAATGTATATATAATCAGTATACATATATATATGTATACTGATATATACATATATATATAATATATATATGTATACTGATATATACATATATATATATACTGATATATACATATATATAATACATATATATATGTGACATAAATGCACAGCAAGTTATATGCATACAAAATTAAATAATTTTTAGGCAGAATAAAAAACTGCTGAAATTATATGATTTTTTCCAAGGAACCTAATTAAAGATGAGCTAAAAGAAATAAAGAAAAAAATACCAGAAGGCCAGGCATGTTGGTTCACTCCTGTAATCACAGCTACATAACCTTTCTACCTACATAGAAAGATGCCAGCACTGGGCAAACACATGAGACTCTATCTAACTAAGCATGAAGGTCTAGGAGTGAGACACAAAGTGGTAGAGGGCTTGCCTAGAAGAGTGAGGCCCTAAGTTCAAACACCCTATTACCAAAACAATAACGACGAAACCTAAATACCAGAAACCTTAGGGAGTCAGTTAAAGAGACACACCACGCAGCATGGGCATCATATGGAAAGTGAACGATCTGACTTGACTGGGGGCAGGAGGGAAAACCTGGGAAGGAATGACATTGTCCAAGAAGAAATGAACTCTTTACTCCACTAAGGTAACGGTAACCCCCTTATAGTATCTTTATAATAACAATTTTTTAAACTGCAAAAAATACCCTCAATAAAATTTTAGAGAATTGCCTTAGAAAAAAAAAAAGAAAAGTATATGGTGAATTTCTTTCCTGTGATCATATACCATTAACTATGCGATGAGAGAAATAAGGTGATTTTGTTTTTGTTATTCTTTTTTTATTTTTATTTTTTGCTCTGTGTGTGTGTGTGTGTGTGTGCGCGCGTGTGTGCGCGTGCATGCGTGCTGGTTCTGAGGCCTGAACTCAGGTCCTGGGTGCTATCCCTGAGATTTTTTTTTGCTCCAGTTTAGTGCTCTACCACTTGAGCCACAGCCCCACTTCCAGCTTTCTGATGGTTAATGGAGAAAAGGATCTCACAGACTTTTGTACTTGGGGTGGCTCCGAAGCTCAGCCCTCAGAGATCTCTGCCTCCTGAGTAGCTAAGGTTGACAGGTGTGAGCGACCAACACCTGTCTTAAGATAGTTTGAATACTTGAATTCCCTCTATTTTTTTAAAACTCTTACAGTACATTGGGGCTATGCTTCCCCCATGTAGGCCATTACCCGTCCCTCTCTGTTTCCTGGGAACCCTGTGTCCATACAGCATTGCCCCTGTGACACGGGCTTGGCCGCATGCTTTTCTTCTCTGACTAAGAACTGAGCTCCTGAGGCAAGACCCGGCCTTCATCACGACTCCTTCATCCCCTAGCTGCAAGTGCAGTGGCAGAGCCCCAGGCCCCGCAGCCTGCGAAGGGAGTGACTTGCTTCCAGAGAGGGAGAAGCAAAGCCTTACCTTTTTTGTCAGAGGCGGCTTCTCCCCGTCTCTGATGCTTGTTTTCTTCTCCATAAACCTAACGGAACCGAGAAAACAAGGCTGTGCCCGAAATGTGCAAATGAGACACATTTCTTACATGGCTTATGGGCATGATTTATGGCTTTCAAGGAACACTTCTCGCTTTACTACTCTGGCCAAACAATACTAGGCACATCGGATCTCCAGTGTCTGATCACACTACTTGCCTACCGTTAGTGAACAGAAGCTGTGCTACCGTGTGTGCTTAAAACTGTTCCCACTTGAGCCAGGCGCCTATAATCCTAGCTACTCAGGAGGCTGAGATCTGAGGATCACAGTTTGAAGCTAGCCCGGACAGAAAAGTCTGTGAGACGCTTATCTCCAAGAAACTACTCAGAAAAAGCACCATGGCTCAAGTGGTAGAGCTCTGGCCTTGAGCAAAAAGAGGCTCAGGGCTCGTGCCCAGGCACGATTCTTCACAGCAATTCTTATATAGAACTTAGAAAGAGACAAAATATATCACATTTATTTCAATTAGAAATGAAAAATGTAAAAAGAAAAGTGTGGAATGGTGAAAATACATAAAATTGTATAGAAAAAAATCTATGAACATTGAAAAATTGTGCCCATACACAAATGATGAAAAAAATATTTTTTATGATGTTTGTAAAGAAATCTGGAACAAGGAAGAGCCATCATCATGACCCATGGGTTAAAAGACACTAATCATGGGTAGCCTACAGATCATTATGTGACCCTGAAAGCAATTTAAATGTTTCAGAGCTTCTGTTACTTTACTTGTAATATTAAGAATTTTCCAGAAAAGATCCGAGGATGAAACAAAGAATTTAAAGCATTTTTGCAACTTGTCACATAAATTTGCATATAAACTTGCCAACTTGTAAATAAGCTCAATACAAGCACTATGAAACAGACTTACCAATGGGTCTGATAGCATACTTCTGTAGCCCCAATTACTCAGGAGGCTGAGGAAATAGGATCATTTGGTTCCAAGAGTTTGAGACCAGGGTGGGCAATATGTTTATCACCTTACACTTCCGGCCTTAATTAATTAGGTTCCCAAGGAAGCTAATTAAAGATTTCATTTTTTCCCTCAGTTCTTATTTATTTCTTCTTGAGATCATGGGTGCATCTGGTAAGATTCCTCAAATGCTTTTAGAATAAGTATAAGTGAAATTTAAATATGGCAGCTTTTAGAACCTGCTTCTCACATGTCAAGGACTTTTGAGTTTTTATAAATAGCAGTTAATATGAACCAAAAAGATGTTCATTAATAACCTTTCTTTGGGGGAAAATAGGGTATAAAAAGTATAAGGGAAAAGAACTTGCCCTTTTCTTACACTTACTTTTTTTTTCAAAACGTTTAAGAGGATTAATAAATAGTCACCTCTTTTGTGGCATTTTGGCAGCTTGCCATCGCAGTGTTCCTTTCCTTCTTTGTTTTCAGATGTTTTTTCTTGTTTGTTACCTAGGTAAAAGAATCCTGTTTAACCATCACATCAAGGACTGTACATGTACATGTACAGTCTTGGATTCCCACCCAGAAGGAATGTTCCTTTTCCTTCTGAGGGAAACCAAGCGCCCTAGAAGTCACACACAAAGCAAACCAAAGAGTAATTAAAAGATGATGAAGACTTAGTCAATATGTCACCATGACTGGAGATGTCAAACATATACACAATGAAATTCCACAATTCTTGCTTGATCTGATCCCTAGCACCCCTCAAATTCTTTCCCCAAGTTATTTTGGTTTGATGAGTGATACATGCTTGTTCTAGCTTATTTTTGGTGCCATTTCTTGGGCTTGAACTCAGGGCAAGGGAAGTGGAGATGACTTTCAGACCCATGAGTGAAAAAAATGAAAGTAATGAGCCACTAAGGTTTTGAGGCTGTTAACACCCTAGTATAGCTTTGGCTTCCTTCCTGGCTTCCTTAATGACTACATCTTCATCTTAGTAACTCCATCCCAAACTACAATCATCATAGAAACTCTCATGCTTTAATTTTCTCTTAAGGAATTTGTCCTAACCTAACACCATCATATAGTCTACTTATTTGTTTGTTTATTGTGTGTTTTTCCTAAGCAGATGATAAGATTACAGAGGGAAAGATTTTTCTCATTTTGTTCACTGCTCTCTCCCTAGCATCTAGACAGTGCCTGATACATAGTTGGAGCCCATTATGGAGCTGAATAGTAAATGTGCAGGTGAATAAATAAATAGGAGACTAGAAGTCAGGTGAGGCTACCATCTCTGTCAATACCAAGGGGTGTGACTTTTAAGAAGTAACTTAATCTGTCTGGATCTTAATAATCTCATCTATAAAGGAAGATGTTAGAATAAAAAAAACCCTTAAGATTAGAAAAGACTATGATTTAAAGATATGCACAAGTCAATAAAACAGTTATATAATTATAATGATGTAATTGCCAACCTTTTAATTCCCTGACAATTAGCAATAAGCAATAAGCGTACCCATCCCAAAGCAAAAATCTTTCAATCCTACCTGTGAAGTTAGCTGGAGAAGGTAAGTTTCACAATCATTGGAGTCAGAACTGTCTGAACCTCGGCTACTAAAACAAAACAATAATAATTTTAGTTATCAGAATGTTTTAGTGGCATCTAAGGTCATTGTTTTTAATGGCCAGATAATTCTAATGACCAGAAGTGACTTTACCAAGATGATTTGGTGTTCAATGCCTCTAGATAGTCTGGAAATCTAGTTTTGTGGTTGTTGTTATTAAGCATGTAACTGGAATATAAGCTATATTCATTACTTGGGAGAAAATGGTAACTGGCATATAATAGGACTCAAAAAAAAGAAATGCTATATATCTTGGGAGTTTCCTAGTTCTCACGGGTATCTATAACTCTTAAGCTTAGTTTATTTTTACATCATTACATTTTCATTCAGCTAAAAGACAATGCAGCATCATCTAAAACAACACTTCAAGAGAAGAGACTCAGCCAGATGAGACAGAACATGCCTGTAGTTCCAGCATTTGGAAGATTGAACAAGAAGATTGTGAGTTCAAGGCTGGCCTGGGCTACCGTCGTGAGTATAAGGCTAGCCTGGGTTATATAATGAACAGAAATAAATTAAGAAAGAAAAAGAAAGACAAAAATGAAAAGAAAATGAAAGACAATCTACCTCCAATTGTCATTTAATGCAGTGATAAGAAAATACTATTTGCTTGAAAGGAAATCAATGAAAAAATATTTCTGAGATTTGGTCTCTATACATAAACTAATAGAAGGCATATGCAAGAAGTAAGTCTTAAAACCAATCTAAGTGTCAGGTAGATTCAGAAATTAAGTAAGAAACCTTAAAGCCAGGTGCTGGAAGCTCATTCTTGTAACTTAGCTACTTGGAGGAGTGAAGATAGAAGGATCAACGTTTGAAGGCAAGGCAGAAAAGTTCATGAAACCTCTTTTCAACCCATAGATAGGTAAAATAGCATGCATCTGTGTTGTCACCAGCTACATTATATCTGGAGGATGGTGGTTCAAGACCAGCCAACGCAGAAAAGTCTTAGAGATGCCCTCTCAACAGAAGAAAGCTGGGCAGTGGCGTGCGCCTGTGATCCCAGAAATAACAAGGCCCAAAGTAGGCAGATTGCCCCTTAGCCATGCACTAGACAGGAAATGAGATGCTTTGTTAAACAACAACAACAAAAACAACAACAACACACCATAAAACAATACACCATAAAACAATAAAACAACAATACACCATAAAAACACGGCAGGAGGAAAGCATGACTCAGTGTTAGAGTACCTGCCTAGCACTTGGGAGGCCCTGGGTTCAAAACGCAATACCACTACCACAAAAGAAAAAACCACAATTGCAAAAGTAAGGAAAGAAAGAAGGAAAGCAAGCAAGCAAGCAAGCAAGCAAGCAAGCAAGCAAGAAAGAATGAACCATAAGAAAGCCAGGCTTGGTGCCTCATGTTTATAATCCCAGCTATACAGGAAGCTGAGAACTGAGGGTGGTGGCTCAAAGCCACCATGGCTGTAGACTATAAGACTCTAATCTCCAACTCACCAGAGAGAATATAGAAATAGAGGTGTGATCAAGGGGAGAGCCATGAGCAGAAAAAGCAGAGCAAGAGCATGAGGCCCTGAGTTCAAGCCCCAATACCAGGACAAAATTAAAAGGACCGTGAGGCTATTACTAACAGTTGTATACCACACTATGAATAACTTAGAATAAATGTATGAATTCTAGAAACACATAACTTGAGAAGTTAATGAAAATAAAACAACAGTTTGAATAGATCTCTTATTAATAGGGAGATTTAATTTGTAATAAAAAAAAACCCTTTCAGCACCAAATGTCTCCAATATTGAGTTCTACCAGATTAAAGATGTCAAACGCAGCTGGGCATTGGTAGCTCACACCTGTAATCCCAGCTATTCAGGAGGCTAAGATCTGAGGATCTTGAAGCCTGTGAGACTCTTCTCTCCAATTAACTGATTAAAAGCTGGAAGTAGAGCTTAAGCTCAAGAGGTAGAGTGCTAGCCTTGAGAAAAAAATGCTTAGGGAAAGCACCCAGACTCTGAATTCAAACCCCAGTACCAGCTCACATGCACAAAAATCCTTAACAAAATTCTAGCCAACAAAATTCACCAGCACATTGAAAGGTCATTCACCAGGAGGCAGACACAGGGAGAATCATGGTTTGAGCTACATGAGCAAAAGTTCATGAGAAGCCATTCTCAACTAATAAAAAGCTGGGCAGAGTAATATGCTCCTGTCGTCCTCACTATGATAGGAAGTCTATGTTTCCAGTCTGGCCAGACATAAATATGAGACGTTATTCAAAAACTAAAGCTAATATGGTTTGGGATGTGACTTCAGTGGTAGAAAACCTACCTAATTAGCATAAGGTCTTGACTTCAAACCTCAGTACACTAAATAGATAAATGAAATAAATGAATGGATAAATAAATGAATAAATAAATGAAAGAAAGAGAGAGAGGAAGTGACAATGACATTCTAGTAAAGAACATAGTAAAACAAACTTAACAAAAAAATGACTTACATGATCTTGCCTTACCTAGACTCTAGATCCAAGGAATTTTCTATGACAGAAGTATCTGAATCTTCAGGGCCTTTTTCCAAGCTTATATGCTTCTCCATTTCCTCTAATTCTTTCAGACACTGATAGTACTAGGGAAGATTATAAATGAATTCATTACTAAAACAACTTTGGCTGGCCACTGGTGGCTCAGGCCTGTAATCCTAGCTACTCAGGAGGCTGAGATTTGAGGATCATGGTTTGACGCCAGCAAAGGCAGGAAAGTCCGTGAGACTCTTTGCTCCAAAAAGCTACTTACAAAAATCTGGGAGTGGTGCTGGAGCTTACGTGGTAGAGTGCTAGCCTTGAGCAAAAGAAGCCCAGGGACAGTACCCAGGCCCAAGGACCAGCAAAATAACCCCCAGAAAACCACCACCACTAAAAAACAATTTGGCTTTCTAACCGAATGAGTTGGCTATTTGTAGACATTTGGAATAAGAGTTATGGTGACTCATAATCACGGAGACCCCTGGCACTATTAGAATCGTTAAGAGAAAATATCTGTTCCTGATGGCTGGTGGTGAGCTGAATGGAAGGACTTACCTTACTCCGGTCAGGATCACAGTAGTCCAAGAGAGAGTCACAAAAATGATAGCCTATCGACTCCAAGTCTCGGGTGCTGAAATGAGTGCCCCGTTTATTACCTAAAACATCAATAAGTTTAGCCACACTTGAGGATGACTTCATCCTTTTTGTTTTTAATCAGGAAGGCCTATGTCGCAAGGGAGCACAAAGGAAACATTCATATGATCTGTAGTATGTGTTGTGGCTGTTCTTGAACAGTGGGCTTCCTGTCCTGGCCACCCCTGGACCCCAGCTGGCTTCCCACACATACACGGATGTGAGAAATCCATACGTAAAGAAAATCCACAATGTGATGCTGTTATGGGAGGTTGAGTTACCTGTTAGAAACTGCTGATCACCATTACTCAGAGAAAAACTGGGGTAAAGACTTCATAAAAAATGTTTTAATCATCATGAACCATGCTGTACCAATTTCAAGGTATCTTAAAATCTAGGCAGAAAGTACATGTGTAGGATTTTCAACGCTTTCTTTTGAGTTGATTCATTTTTTCAAAAACCAAACCAAGATCCACATTCAGCTTTTCTTGATTTTTGAGAAAGGGTCTTCTTATATATCCCAGGGCAATTTAGAATTTGTCATTATCCTGTCTCATTCTCTCAAGTGCTGGCATTACAGGCATATACCAGCATGCCGCGCTTGAATTGATAGGTCTTCTCACAATGTGAGAATTAAATTATCATGGGCTATTCTAACTACATTACTACGTGCTACATCTGAATAAAAGTCTCACGTCTGAAATGAGACTACAGAGGACAGTTTTCTTTTTTATTAGTTCAGAGAACTAAAGTGATTTTTAGTATAGAAAATTGATGAAGAAATCTTTACTGTTTGTCTTGCAAATAACAAATGAGATTAAAAACATTGCATTGGTTTTTACTTAAAATCTCTGGGAACTCCTTTTTTTTTTTTTGTCAGTTGTGGGGCCTGAACTCTGGGCCTGGGCGCTGTCCCTCAGCTCTTCAAGATAGCACTCTACCACTTGAGCCACAGCACCACTTCTGGCTTTTTCTGCTTAAGTGGTGCTGAGGAATTGAACCCAGGGTCTCATACATGCAAGGCAAGCACTCTACCACTGAGCCACCACCCCAGCCCCTGGAACTCCTATTTTAAAGATAATCTATAGTAGTCCTCTTCAAAGGCAACCAGGATTAGAAGATTACTTATGAAACAGTCTATTAGAATAGTCTATGTATGTGCTACAAAAGTCCTTTCTAAACAAATAAATATGAAGAAATAGTCCCTGGAGTGAAAACTTACCCTGTTTATAGGATTAAATATCAGTATGCCCCTTAATGGAAACAAAGTGCTCACTATAAAATGACCTATCTCATCATTTTTACATTGAGACATGTATGTTAAGCCAGGTATGGTGATACATACTTGTAATACCAGCACCGGGGAAGCTGAAGCAGGATGATCTCAGAGTTGAGGCCAGCTTAGGCTACGTAGTAAAAATCTCAGTTTTAGCTCCACTCCCCCGACCCCCTCAAACCCCTGTGTTTCTCCACAGCTTCATGCTCTGAGAGCGGTGATGGAGAATAGTTGACCTTACCCAGAGTAGATCCACAAAAGGTGGCCTCCATGGTAAAGCTGTTCCTGATTCCCATTTTCCACATCACAACCCTTCCTGTTCCTTCTTTGCTCTTCTGCACTTTAAACTTGCAAGCTGGGAATGAAAACTGAAAGGCAGCAAATCAAAGTGAGGTCCTGTATCTTTCTTAAGAGGAAGGGCTGAAAACGATATAAGTAGTTCTGTGAACTCTGCAATGCTCCCTAAAGCTTAAAGGGCTACCTGACCAATAGAAATAAAAGGGGTTGTTGGTGCTTTTTGTTTCAGCCAGTCTCAGTGGCTAAATGCAATGGATCTCCTCGTGATTTGAACCTGCAGTTCCCTAATGGCTACTGCTGTCAAACGTCTCTCAGGGGCTTATTTGCCACCATCTATCCTTTTGGGTGAGCTGTGTACAGTGTAGTATCACTGTCACTTTTAATTAGGTCGCTTGTTTGGTTGAGGCATTCTGCTACAAGTTCTATGTCAGTTAGGTGATTGCACATCTTTCTCCCCGTTAAGATTTTAGCAGAATCTTCTACAGAATAAAAACATGAATTTTGATGAAGTCTAATTTTTCAGTTTATTAACTGAGAATACTGTAGACCTGAGTCTTTATCTTCCTCCTTCCTTCCTTCCTCCCTTCCTTCCTTCCTTCCTTCCTTCCTTCCTTCCTTCCTTCCTTCCTTCCTTCCTTCCTTCCTTCCTTCCTCCCTCTCTCCCTCCCTTCTCTCTCAACTCTCTCTCTCTCTTACTTTTCGGAAGGGAAAATGCTCTTTTGGTAACAAACCTGTGCTTTCTATAAATAACTACTTCCTCCTCCTCTTCTTCCTCATCTTCCATTGTCTTCTAAGTCTTTTGTCTTTTTTTTCTTCTCCAGATTTTTTTTTCTCCTAATGTCTTTAAGCCTCAATTGTCCAAAAAAAAACCCAACAACCCCAATGAGCCCTTTCCAGAAAATCTTTTATAATTGATTCATTGAGGATTTAAGAGCAAGTCCATGGGAATTATATTTGTCATATTAAAATCTTTTCTCTAAAGAATGATTAAAAATATATTTTGTGTGTGTACCAATTCTGGGTCTTGAAGTCAGGGCCTGGGCTCTGTACCTGAGCTTATTTTGCTCAAGGCTGACACTCTACTATTTGAATCATAGCTACACCTCCAGCTTTTTAAATTATTATTTGGAGATAAGAGTCTCATGGACTTTGCTGCCTGGGCTGGCTTTGAACTGCAATCTTTAGATCTCACCCTCTTGAGTAACTAGAATTATAGGTATGAGTCACTATGCCCCATGATTAAATTAATTTTTACAAATTTGTAATTGACTAGTTGTAACATTTCAATTTGTGTGAAAATAATTATATGTTATTCTTTTCGTAATCTAATTTTTATATATTGCTGAAATATTGGTTATTAATTTTTTATTGGCAAACTTCTAATAAATACTTTAAAGATATTATGCTTTTCTTTTCTTTTTTTCTTTTTCTTTTTAGTTGTGGGGTTTGAACCCTGGGCCTGGGCGCTGTCCCTCAGCTCATCAGCTCAAGGCTAGTGCCCTACCACTTGAGCCACAGTGCCACTTCCAGTTTTCTGGTGGTTTATTGGAGATAAGAGTCTTACTCACTTTCCTGCCTGGGCTGGCTTTGAACCATGTTTCTCAGATCTCAGCTTCCTGAGTAGCTAGGATTACAGTTGTGAACCACTGGTGCCCGGCTACTATGCAATTCTTTTTTTTGTTGTTGTTGGTTTTTTTTGGGATCCAGTCATGGGGCCTGAACTCTGGGCCTGGGTACTGTCCCTCAGCTCTTCAACTCAAGGCTAGAGCTCTATCACTTGAGCCACAGCGCCACTTCCGGCTTTTTTTCTTTTTGCTTATGTGGTTCTGAGGAATCGAACCCAGGGCCTCATGCATGCAAGGCAAGCACTCTACCACTGAGCCACCTTCCCAGCCCCTACAATGCAATTCTTAAGAGCACATCTTTAGCCTGTATAGGCTCTAGACACTTATTAAAACACTAAAAAAGACCTCAAAACATATTGAATGGTAAATGGAGAAACCTTCCATATGTTAAATAATCTTTGTCTCTTTGTTTGCACTTGAAACAGTGTCTCAGTATGTGGCTCACATTAGCCTGGAACTGGAACTCATTAGATTACCATAACTAGATTTAAAGTCTGTGTATGTGTGTGTGTGTGTGTGTGTGTGTGTGTGTGTGTGTGTGGATGCATGCGTGCACAAGTGCGTGCTGTTCCTGGGGCTTAAACTTAGGGCTTGAGTGCTGTCCCTGAACTTTTGTGCTCAAGGCAGGGCTCTATCACTTGAATCACAGCTCCACTGCTGGCTTTTTGCCTGTTTATTGGAGATAAGAGTCTTTTAGATTTGACTGCTGGGGCTGACTTTGAACCAAGATCCTCAGATTTCAGCCTCCTGAATGGCTACAATTGCCATGTGACCTACTAGCACCCAAAAATATTTTCAAAGTATTGGTCACGAAGCAATCCCACACAATTATTTCCTTATGTAGTCAGCTGTGTAAGTCAGTCAGAAGAACTCGATATAAAATGAGGTTACTGAGAAAGCTGCTCTCTTCCACTGTCCCACCAGGACTCCCATTAGTAAAGGGAAATCTTCAAGGTGCTTACTTTATCTGGGCAGTTCTTGCTCAGCATCAGTGGGAAGATCCGTTGCTGTAAGTATAAGGATTTCGTTTTTGACTGGTCACTGCCAGTGCAGCCATACATGAAGATGTTCTCCTTCCTGCTGTGGCCATGGAGATCACAGTACAAAATCACCTCTCGCTTCTCCATCAACCTACCCAGGAAAGGAGGAAGGAAGGGTTACTAACACTTACCTCTGCATTTGCTTCTATAGATACAACTGTGCATTTATTACATAATGTCCAAATATGTAGCCTAACTTTCAGCTTTGGCTTCTAATCTACAGTGCATTAGTGCCACTACCAATAGACATTTGAAGACAAGTAGAATCATTTCCTGTAACTGTCATAGCCTTCCATCATAAAGACAAAATTTACCTGAGTCCCAAAGGCTTTCCCCAACAAGCTCTCCATGCTTTATTTGGTTTTCAATCACTGTTTATGTCATTTCTTTTCTTCTTTTTTTTTTTTTTTTTGGGTCCAGTCGTGGGGCCTGAACTCTGGGCCTGGGCGCTGTCCCTCAGCTCTTCAGCTCAAGGCTAGCGCTCTACCACTTGAGCCACAGTGCCACTTCCAGCTTTTTTCTTTTTTGCTTATGTGGTGCTGAGGAATCGAACCCATGGCCTCATGCATGCAAGGCAAGCGCTCTACCACTGAGCCATCTTCCCAGCCCTCTGGAAAATATTTCGTCGTTATCTTTATAAATGTGTGTGGTCCCCTGATGATCAAAAACACATCTGCATTCTCACTTCTTTCCTAACTGCTGAAGCTCAGCCATTTTCTTCCTTTGGAACTTCTGTATCACTTGACCAATTACTTGATATTCACCAAGGAGTTTTCTTAGTTCAATATTTATGGAGCACTTGAAATCACCCAGAAGAGTGCTAGTCTCAAGAGAGGCTTCCCACACATTTGTTAATAACTGCATGCCGGAGGCCTTGGTGTTAAACATGACTGTCAATTAACCCTTCATTAATTTGGTGACTGACTGTTATTCTAAGAGAAATAGTACTGGTATTGGAATTGAATTTTCCTGACAAAAATTTCAAATAAAATATTTCACAGAAATGACTATACATTCCTTCAGATCCCAATCCTTAGAACTCAATAAAAATGGTAACAAGCTTCTCAAACTGATCAATGAAAATGATCCATAAAGGAGGTTTTGGAAAGGTAAAAAGTGGTGCCAGGGGGGTGGGATTAGGAGCATTTTTGTCTTTTTTTCATATTTTGAAACTTGACATAGCATTGCCTAATCAATATCACATATATGATTTGTTATATAGAGAGGGATACTGCTAAAATACTATCATAATGGTATTACAAAGTGGTATTATAGTGTGACACATATTACATTTATAACCAAAATATTAACATCTAAAAGCATTTAGGGCAGGTCATGATGGCTCACTTCTGTAATCCCAACTACTTGGGAATCAGAAATGGGAGGACTGAGGTTTGAGACAAGTCAAGGTGAAAAATTAGTAATACTGCATCTCAACAAAAAATGCTGGGTTAGTCTGTAATTCTAGCTATGTGGGAGGTATAAGTAGGAGGATCATAGTTCAGGGCAAAAATAAAGTATCTATGAGACCCTCTCTGAAAAGTAGCTGAAGCACAAAGGGCTCGGGCATGACTCAAGTAATAGAGAGCTTGCTTAGCAAGTTCAAGGCCCTGAGTTCAAACCTTGATAAAACCCAGCAAAACCCAAATCAAACAAGCAACTCCTCCCCCCAAAAAATCCCAAATCAAAACATTTAAAGGACTGTTTTCATTAAAAAGTAATATTCTTTAAGCTAATTTCAAATGGAAACCTATTATACATATTAATTCTTGTTCTTGCCTCATTTGGTGTAATAAATTCTAACAGATCACATTCTATTGGCAAAAGCCCCTAACAGATCATAGTGTGTTAGGACAACAAACCAGACTATAAAGCACAAACATCAAATCCTTATAGATGAAGAATATGATGTATTTTTAAATAAAAATTTCTTTTTAATGACCTGTCAATGGAAACTTTTACTTCTAGATAATTCCTGAAGAAATATTACTTTTAAAGTAAAAGAGGATATTCATGTTTCTCATCTTACATGAATTAACAGTTTGGAGTTTCTTCCTAGTTGCTGGTAACTAAGATACTCTAAGTATTTTATATTAAGCATTGTATATGAAAATGCATTCTAATATGATTTAAGTATACTAACCTTCCAGTTGTTTATCTGACAAAATAGATGGGGCTGGCTTCTTACTTTGCTCACTTACAAAATCAGTTTCTTTCTTTCTTGGAAATCTTTCTGAAACTTATTGAATAGAGTCCTGCCTTTCCTTCCTACAAAATAATCTGAGAAGAACTGAGACATTTACATTAGCTTCCACAGAGCAGGTCCAAGGGTTTGGCCTGTAATACATCATGTGCGAGACCAAGATACATCACAGTGTATCAAATAGGCATCCTAGCAGCTCCCTTAAATTATATTAAAACCCTTTTTATTTTACTTTAAATTTAGACCATAGTTGTAAAAAAGAGCATTCTCACAAAACATCTCTATTTCCCTTAAATGTTAACCTATTACATAAAACAAAACTAGAAGGACCAGATGTGTGGTTTAAGTGGCAGAGCACTTGCCTATTAAGCTTGAGAAGGACCGAGTTTAACGCCCTGTACACAAAAACAAGCTAACCTAAAGACACCAATAATGCCACATTACTATGAACTAACTGCTCAACTTCATTGAGATTTCCCAATTTTTTTTTTCCCCCACCACTCTTTATCCTTATTCTATGCCAGCATCCAGCCTAGGATATCACTAGTCAGTTTTTTCTATTGTTTGCCTCCCCAGGTAGCAAAAGAAGTACCAACTATTCTTTTATCACTCGAACATTTCCCAGATAGTTTCAGGGAAGTCAGGGTGAAACACATAACACATAGCAACTTCCAGTTCTTCTTGTGGGGCTCTGCACGTCACTTCCTGTTTTCTGAAGCAGATGAAAGGATTTATATAAAAGTGAAAATTGAGGCTGAGCTACCTAACTGGTACCATGGTAAGTGCTTCTAAAACCCGTCAGCTCCTCTGAGGAATTGAGGGGTGTCGTTGGGGCCCTCTGCTTTGTAACAGGATTCTTGTGCTTGCCACTGTGAAGAATTCTGGTTAATAGCAGTGAATAAGGAGATAGCATGCCTATCCAAGTATGTATTATTATGACAGTCCAATAATGCTACATCATTTACAAGGATTCTTTTCACATTTGAGGAATCACATTAGCTATATTTAGTTTTTCAGTCTATTCTGAGCCCATTAGAGATAACACCCTCTTATACAGGTGCTATTATTTCCATTTTATACATGACTTGTTGAGTCTTAGTTTGCGTCTTAATTGCACAAGGTTATAAGTTAATAAATGAGATAGCAGGATTTCAGTGTGGCATGTTTAACTCCCAATTTATATCCTTAATAAAGAAGATTAAGAGGCTTTGAACTTGAAATGGATGCTCTTTTACTCCAATCAACCTCCTGTAGCAGATGTTTTGTTATTACCTGATCTATCAAATAATTCACTTAGAGGGTCCATAAGTAATTAATATCATGTTCATTTTTCTGTTTCAGATTCTTTTTAGTTTAATTTAATTTAATTTTTGCCAGTTGTGCAGTTTAAACTCAGATCCTTGAGTTTGTCTGGCTTCTTCCTTGCTTAGCTGGTGCTCTACCACTTGAGCCACACACCTTCAAGCCTGGCTCTTTGCTTGTTATTATGGGGATGAAGTTTTATGGACTTTTTTTAAACCCTTGGCTGACTTCCAACCATGATCCTCAAGATCTTAGCCTCCTGAGTAAGGAGGATTATAGCTATGAGACCAGAACTCATGTAAACTATTTAGAAAATTTAAACCTTTAAACTTAAAAAATACCAATTTAAACTTTTTGGGGCTGGATGAGCTGCTTGCTTATTGAATAACTATGTAAGCTGATAATCCAAAGGCTCACACAGCCAATGTCAGAACAATGTCCAGCACAATGTTGGAACAGCCTGCTCGTTTTGGCAAGAGACTGAATTTGGGACATGCAAATTCCACTATTTGTTTCACAGAGCCACTCTTGAAGGGGAAGTTAGCGAATCTGGTAGCACTCAGGCCATGAGAATGTTAAGATCCGACTCAGAGAGTCGTTCCAAAATGATCTTAGGAAAAGTAAAGAGTGAAATAAGTAAGCAAGCTGGTGAGAGTAAAATAATAAACTAAAATTCTTACTAGGCCATTTACCAATTAAGCGGAGAGGTTAATGTGAAGCTTCTTCTTCTTCTCCCCCCCCACCCCTGTGGATCCACTTACCTGTGGATCATGTTCCGCGTGTACCACACAGCAGGGAAAGATTCCTTCACCAAGGACGTATAGTTGCGGTTCAAGTCCCGTCCGGATAAGGAGCATCGGTAGTTCCCCACGATCACCCCGTCCGGGTTGAGCATGGGGACCACCTTGAAGATGAAGGTGTCCCGCAGGAGCTGCGCGTCGCTCGAGTCTCCCAGAAGGTAATCGAGGAAGCCTTTCATCATCCAGGAGCTGTTGGTCTCGCCGGGGTGGACCCTGGCGGTCAGGATCACGGCCTGGCGCTTGCTGGAGTTGGGGTTCTTCAGGGGAGAGGTGATGGTGAGCACGTACACCATGTTGCGCGCCAGCGTGTGGCACAGCACGCGGATCTTGCAGAACTGGGAGCGCACCGGGTCGCTGTTCACGGCCGACAGGTAGTCCTGCAGGTTGCTGTAGGTGTACGGGTAGCAGTGGGCGAAGTAGCAGGTGTCCTGGCTGTGGGGAAACTGACAGGTCCACGTGAGCGAGAAGAACGGGCGGCCCTCCTGGCCCAGGTTGTTTTTGTAGTACTTGATCTGGTCCCCGGTCCGCTGCCAGCCGATGTGGTGGCTCTGGGCCTCCTTTTCCGAGTAGAACAGGGGGCGCATGCCCCGGTTGTAAAGGCTGGCCGGCTTGGTGAAGTTGACGATGGTGAATCTGTAGGGCGTGGCGGCCTGGGTGTTGGTGACTTGGAAATAGAACCACTGCGTGTGTTTATTGGTGAAGAGGTCCGGGCGCAGCGTCAGCTGGTATTCATACTCCGCCCTGGGGCACAAGAAATGGAAAGGGATGGGGGGGGGAGAAAACCAGTCTGGAAGAGGGTAAAAATGGCCTCCCCCCGTTTACATCAAATGAAAAAAAAATTACCTTATTAAAAAAAATCTATTTCACCTGTTCCCACATGGTACTTCTTTTTTCTTTTTCTTTTTTGTCCTGGGGTTTCCTGGACCCTGTCCCTAAACTTCTTTTTCTTTTGCTGAAGGCTAGATCTCTACCACTTGAGCCACAGCCCCGCATCTGGCTTTTGCTGAGTGCTTTATTGGAGAGAAGAGGCTCACAGACTTCCCTGCCCTGGCTGGCTTTGAACTGCGAGCCTCAGATCTCAGCCTCCTGAGTGGCTAGGATTATAGTCGTGAGCCACCGGTGCCCAGAAGTACTTTTTTTGGGAGGGGGAGAGAGGAGCGGGGTAAACCATGTTCACTTAAGACAGTACCCAATACCAAGTGACTTCAAAAAGATACAGAATGTGAAATGGCATAGATGTCTGTCTGATGGGAATGCTTGAGAGGAAGAGTGAGGAGAAAAAGAATGTTAGAGAGAGAACAACACTAAAACACATGGCATCGGTGAGTGAGGATGCTGCTGAGAGCTACCAATAACCTTGGGTAGCAAGGATGGGGGGAGTGAGAGGAAGCAAGGGACCAATCTGTGAATATGTGAATATCTGTAAATATGTGAAATGCCACAGTGAAACTCTTTGGAACAATTAGCACACACTAAAAAGAAAAAAAAAAGGACAGGAATGTAAAACAGGTCCTATGGGAAGGACTAGTGGGAGGTGGGAGGGAAAATGGCCAGGGCAAAGGAGGGTGAATGTGTTCAACATACAGTATGTCTGGGTATGGAAACAGAGCAATGGAGCTGGCTGGGGTTGGTTTGGGAAAAGGGTCAGGGGGAAGAGAGAGGGAGAGGGAGAGGGAGGGGGGGGGAGAGGGGGCATGAGTCTGATCAAGAGACATTGCATGCATGTATAGGTCTGTCAACATGAAACCCCTTGTACAACTAATTCATGCTAATTAAAAATGTAGAAAAGCATTGAAATCTTCTTTTCCTGCATGAGAAACTGTATGCTAGCTCTAAAGCCTTTGTAATTTCAACACAGCACATTAAAAAATGCAAGAGTCTGATCAAATCTGCATATTTCAATGTAACTGCATTTTGTAAAATAAATGATTAAGGAGTTATGGAAATGGAAGAAAAATCCTTTCTTTTGCATCAAACACAGATTTCTATTTTATACTAATTCGAATCCTTGGGATATGAAATAATTATCATTCAGAGACATTTAAAAGCATTTAAAAGTTAACATGATCACATAGATTCCAAAGTGTGAATGCTTTCAGTATACAAGGATTGTGTTTGATAACTGTCTGGACTCCAGACTTAGACATTAAATAGTTTTAAATTATAAAGAAAGATAGCATTCCATTGGAATATTAGTTATATATATATATGTATATATATATATATATAAAGTTTATCTTACTTGTGTCTTTTTTCCCTTGTCAGCTAACTGTCTGAATTAGCATGTGAGTATACTTTATTGCAAATAATCAACTAGGAACAGGTAAAATAATTGTTTCAAATCCTTGATATCTCTAATTAGCACTTATACTTAAGGAATTACAGAGCAGTAGTAGCAGATACCAAGAACTTTAAGATAAAGACCTAAAACAGAAACAAACAAACATTTGGTGTTTTGCTCCTCAAATAAAAATAATTAAAACCTACACTTTGACTACCTTCTGTAGATTCCCGCTTTCAAACCTTGCTTCAAATATCAAGGTGTTGTCACAATTATCCGCAGGCTGCTTCAAGGCTGTTCGATTACCGCCAACTCGGAAATATACAAAACAGGGTTCTTTGTAAGCTGGTAAGGAAAGACTAAATCAATGACAATAAGATATCTAATGAATATATTTGAAAGTGAGGTAATACATTTCTAAAGAGAGCAAAGATCCTCAGCACCACATAAGCAGAAAAAAACCAAAAAACAAAAACTGCTGAAAGTGGCACTGTTGGTCAAGTGGTAGAGCGCTAGCCTTGGGCCAAAGAACTGAGGGACAGTGCCCAGGCCCAGAGCTCAGGCTACATGACTGACCCCCAAACAAACATACAAACAAACAAACATTGCTGTGGATAAATGTATAGCTATCCTGGTTGCAGGAACACTGCTTCTATAAGATCTAAGACACTTCCAAGGAGAACTGGGACATGAACACTAACTTACCTGGTGCACACTCCAGTGAGGAGCACAGAGTCGAAGTGTTAAGCCAATTGGCAAAGGTGGAGTGGACTAGAAAGAGAATACAGAGTCTCTGGGAAGATATCAAGGATATACAGATGTAAGGGCATTTTGTATTCTTCTCCTGGACCTCACCAGGTATTCAGAGAAACCATGGATAAATCCAGAGTAATTACCATTTATGGTGCACCTTGTGTGTGGGGAGGAAGGGATGGGGGTGAGGCAGTGGCAAGCACTGCAGAGAATGGCACAAAATCTGCCCAAATCACTTTTCCTTCCTACTTATGGAGCAAAATCTTAAATTCTGGGGTAAGGGCAACAAACACTGGCACCAATAGGGCACTGGTATGCATGAATACGACCTAGGAAAAGGAAACTGATTGAAAAGGAAAAATAACCCAAATCCTTTATTCCTTGAGGAAAAGCAGGGTTTACACACTGGAAGACACTGGAGTACTGAGAAGACTTCATTTCTAAGAACCAGGGACCTGGTGTGTGAGTAAGGTTAAGTAGAATGATAATGCATTTCTACTTTTCCCTCAAACCAGGCTAAAACAAGCCATGAGAACCAACTAACTAGACATTTGGGAGTAAGTGTACAAAGTTCAGAGAGATCCTCCATGAGATATAGAGCAAAGGGAAAATGAAGGCTGCCACTGCAGCCCATCACTCGAGCTCCATCCTAAATGATAATGTGGGATTTGAAGCCTGTGGTGCAATGAAGGTTAACACGAGCAAAAAATAAATCTAATCCCAGCTCATTTCCTGAATTACTAAGGTAACACTCTGTCCCCACCCCATCTCATACACATATACTGAAGAGTTAGCACGTGGAAATTTGGTTGGTTATTTTTCCAATTTTTAGGCATAAAGACAAATCGTTTTTATTGTCCTCCACAATACCTCCAGATAATAACCTGAAGATTTCAAAATACATGCGCACGCACGCACACACACACACACACACACACACACATGCACATGCACACACACGAATCTTCCATGCATTGTCAAGAGACAAAGCTACAAAACATAACCATTCTATAAGATAAAGATGTTGGATCTGTCAGATAGAGACTTCAGAAGACGTATGATTAATAAGCTAACGGTTCAAGAAAAAGAGCAGGTGAGTATTTCCAGATGGTTATCGTCAGAAAGCATTAACTTGCATGTGAAAAATGAAAACACTACACAGAAGCAGAGATTACCTTCGATGAACTGCATGGATCAGAGGAATAATCACTGAACTCAAAGATGGCTCAACAGAAACAAAACTGAAGCATAAAGTTTAAGTAACACACACACACACACACACACACACACACACACACACACACACACACACACACACCCCTACACATGCCCTGCTACCGTACATGCCTATGAGATTTCACCATCCCATTTTAGTATCTCTTAACTTTGTTCACCCTTTTGTAAATTCATTCAATTAAATTTTCTCAAATTACTCATGGTGTGCTTTCTAATTCTGGACAAGCCTCTGACTGAATCACCTCAATTATTTTAATTTTTTAAAAACTCAGATCTCACTTCGGCTATGCCTGGAAGCTGTAAGCCAAGTTAATATAAGTATTTTAAAACAATTTTTTAAAGTCAGAGGTGCCTTTTCTCTTTAGGTGTTTAGAAATGTATGTGCAAATACATTGTTTCTAGAAAGCCCTTTAAATAAGGGAGTGGAGCTTTGGCTCAAGTGGTAGGTCACTCTTCCTGAACTGAAGAACTCAGGGACAGTGCCCAGGCCCAGAGTTCAAGCTCCATGACTGACAAAAGGGAAAAAAAATCGGTAGAAAGCCCTTTAAATAAAACCTGGATGCTCTCTGTAAAGATATTTTTAATATATGAAAACACCAAATAGTAAACTCTGATGGTGAATTTTTGCTATAAATTCCTGCCCACCCCCTTGGTAATGTTAGAATTTTCCTTATAGTAAGACACAGGCTAAGATTCTAAGTTTGACTGTCAGCATTCTCTATCATAAGAGCAGATTGAGTGTGTATTAATAAAGCTTGCAAAGTGCAAATATTGATCTTGTGTAGTAACACTTTCATGGGATATAATCTTGGATGTTATTTGAATGTGGGGCATTTTCTTGGGTTATAAAATGATAACTCTAAGAAATGCATCAAACAGGCATGAAATGAAAAGAGTGATTGAAAGATATGCAGAGAGACTAACAATTGTTGATAACTTTACCTTCAAAAACCATGTCAGGCATAATTCATTCTAATAGAGATGGTATTATATTTTAAAGCTACTCAGCATAAACTAGTATATCTTCAAAAATTAATTAGTGTCGGAGGGGGGGGGAGGGGGGGTATGATTGGGTGGGGGGGAGGGGGGAGGCTGGGAAGGGAGGTGAAGGGTAAATAAAGGAGGAGGCTGCAATGCTTGGTAAGAAATGTATGCATTATCCTGACCATGTAATTGTAACCCCTCTGTACAGTATGTTCTCAAATAAAATAAAATTAAATAAAAAAAAATTAATTAGTACTAGCTGAACATTTGAATCAATATGTAACCCATCATTTTTCATAGGGACAGAGACTTCCTGGTAATTTCTGATTTTACCACTACAAACAGCAAAACAAGTATATCTAAACAACAATCCATGTGTGGTTTTTTGGTGTGTGTGTATATATACTAGCCCTGGGGCTTGAACTTGATCTGGGTACTGTCCCTCAGCTCAAGGCTAGTACTCTACTAGCCACAGCTCCACTTAATTGGAGGTAAAATTCTCATAGACTTTCCTGCTCAGGCTGGCTTTGAACTGCAGTCCTCATACCGCAGCCTCCTGAGTAGCTAGGATTACAGGTGTGAGTCATAAGAACCAGTCCAAATTGTATGTTACAGCAACCTATCTTATTAGCACTCACTATCTTCTGCCAGATAAACTACTGTATTCTCCTTGGAGTTTGAATAGGTAGGTTCAATTTCCAGGCCTGTGGGGATGTACACTGGCTCAGGAAAAAAAGGAGTCCAATCTGGAAAAGAAGAGAGAAAGGGATTCTATAAATACAACATCAAAATAAAATGGGAAAAATTAAGTGTAGATCCAGGCTAAATTTTGGTGTTTTGAGCAGGCTAGGTTCACTGAAAACAATAAACACCATCACACTGTAACAAAACTCGCATTCCTCTGTATCTTGTTCAAAAATTATCTTTTTTTAAATTTTTCTTTTTATTATTATTATTTATTGTGAGAATACCATACTCAAAAATTATCTTATTGAGTAATACAAGCTTGCTTTGTGCTCACTGTCAATTTGATGTTGTGATTTTTATTCTTCTTCAGTCATTGATGTCATTCTATCACATCTCTGAGGTCACTGTACCACCTTTCCTCCTTTCTTTCACTGTTATCTTCAGCCTCTTTCGTGGTCATGGTAATGCCCTCAGTCTGTAAACATTTTCAGATTCTTTCTCTCACAAAAGGGTGTGTATTCACCATCTTCCATTTGAAAACATTACCTGCCAGCTTTATTTCTTTTACTAATGTCTTAAAAGTTGTCTATGTCATTACAAATCTTTCAGATTGTGATCTATTTCGGGGAAAACTACCCTAGTCATGTATGTACATACACAACTGCCCTAGTTGAACAAGAATCTGGTGATAAGAAATAAGCACTACTGGGCAAATGTTTTGAATATTAGGTGTACATTTGCTCTAGCAATGTCACTGTATTTGAGTTAATGAATAGTGGCAAAGTCTACCTACAGAGATCCACTACATAAACTCCTGTATGAATGCAAATATGTCCCACTGTGCATTACAGGATTAATCAAACAACACACAATCAATTATCAATTAATAGTAAATTACATTTATTAGTTGAAAACCTTAATTAATTCAAGTCAAAATGAATCACAAACTTATAACTTAATTTCTATTCTGCAAACACTGGGAGTATTTTACCTATTTGTCTTTGTGTAGTCTGCTTATCAAATAGTTGGAGATTTCCTTAACTTCAGCATATGCTATTACTTTTTTCTTAATAACTATCATTTAAAGAAATACAAATATCTCTTATCCAAACTGGAAAAAAAACTCATATAAATGTCAAGGCTTCAGTTTTCCACAGTCTCCTTACTGAGAACCATATTTTGAGAATCAGCCTTATGCAATTTCAGTCTAGCATTCACTCATTTTAATCCCGCTTGGTCATTAAAAATGTTATTTGTATAGTATTTGAAGCAATAGGCACTTAAATGTCTGTAGCTTAAATGGGTGGATGGTGAGAAAGATGGATGAATGATTGGATGGATCACTGAACAACTAATATAGGGTAAATTTCCACATTTACGTATAAATGATGTAATTCAGGTTTATTACCACAAATGCTTTCTATCCAATTATGTATTTTCATTACAGAAAAGCCATTCTAGGATTATTGAAACTTTCATCTTGTGTCTTAATCAATTTACCCTTCACCAGCAATTTTGAAGGCTCTATTTCCTCCACTTTTTGACTGTTGCTTATTATGATGTCCATGAAACATTTCTGGGACTTACTAACAATCAAGGAAATGCAAACTCAAGCCATTTCGAGCCATAACGGAATGCTTAAGTATAACAAGATAGAGTAGCATTTCCTTTATTTATTTGCTAAATGATTTGTTCTCGAAGGAAGTTTTTTCTAGAAAATTAATTGCTATCTAGGCCAAAGTTAAACAATTCTCTGTACATGTCTAAATGTTCCAGATTAATTTAGTAATGGCGCCACCTGATGGTCATTACCATTATTGAATTTTTCTTTTTCCCCTTCTTATTCAATTAACATCAATTAGATTGTGCAACAGGGTTTTATTTGGACATGTCCATATATGTACCTTGATCTGCCCTTTTCCCTTATCTATACTCCCCTCCCCAAACCATCCCAAGCTTTACTGTTCCATTTTCACGCATGTACAATTAGTATTTTGACCATATTTACCACCTTCCCCCTCTCCATTTGCCCTTCTCCCTCCAACTAGTCCCCTCATTCCGCAGTTATTTTATATTTCTGCTGTTCTTTTTCTTTTTAGCTTATTCTCATCACTTTAATGGGTTTCATTATGATGTTTCACACATATATGCACACTATTTTAACCTACAGATTAATCACTGACATAACTGATATCTTTAAAACAATGAGACTATGAACCTGTTATAGCCTTAATTAATTAATTAATTAATTAATATCTCATAAAATTTCTGTCAATAATGCTTTATGGTCTCTGCATAGCAGTCGTTTATACCTTTAGAGATTTAAAAATATTTTATTTTGTAATTATATATATTATTTTGATACAGTGAAAACATACAGAAAAGTTGAAAGACTCCCCCCCAAAATACTTACCATGATACTTAATCGTCTCCAAATACTCTGCTGTATATTTCCTACAAAATAGAATGGCTCCTGTATAATCATACTGTACCTTAGACTCCTGTGTGAAATTTTCCAGTTGTACCAACAACACTGTCCATAGTAAAAGGATCTAGTTGAAAATCACATGCTGCCTTTGATTATCCTGCATCTTAACTCTTTTTAAATTTGGAATCATTTGCCCAGATTCCTGTCTTTCATGGGTTCAAGACTTCTGAAAATGACTTCCAATTTTAGCTAAGAGACACAGAGTTAACAAAGTACTACTTCTGCCCTATGACAACAAATCACCTGGACAGACCACAAATGAAAGACTTTTCTGGAACCTGTCAGCCAACCAGTACACTTGCCAAGGAAAACCAGCCCCCAGCACTGGCATCCTGAAGGCTGTACTGCCACAATTTTCATAGCAACCAGCCAGCAGGTGCAGCTATTAAAGTGGGCTAGTGTGAGGGTGCAGAGCCCTTTGAGGCTCACTGAGACCCATTACAGATCTTTGTGTTTATTTCTGTACTTTTAAGTTTATCCACTAGTCTGTATGTCTAGCCACATGATGGAACCATACCATCTAAATCACTGTGAGTCTTGAACACAGAAGATGTGAGTTCTCAGCTTTGTTCCTTCCAAGTTTTGTTTTGTTGTGTTTTTAAAGAGGGGGAAGGAGAGACCAGAGTTTCTTGGTTTTCCATGTGATTTTTAGGAATAGTATGTCAATTTCTACTAAATAGCCAGTTAATATTCTAATAAGAATGGTATTTTACATGTAGGCCAATTTGAGAAGGACTTTTATCATGATGTAAGAACTCTTCAAATTTGTGAATATGGTATATTATTTAGCCATCTATTTTATCTAGTCTTAGAACTTGAACTTGGGACATTATGCTCTCACTTGGCTTTTTTGTTCAAAGCTGTCTTTTTATCACTTGAACCACACCTCCACTTTTGGCTTTTTGCTGACTGATTGCAGATAAGAGTCTCACAGATCTTCCTGCCCTACCTGGCTTTGAACTGAGATCCTCAGATCTCAGCTATGTAGAAATACAATTGATTTTTATATGTTGACCTTGTATTCTGCAACCTTGTTGAGTTCATTTATTAGTTCTTAACATTTCCCGGCAGATTGCTTAGGATTTCCTACATCCAAGATCATGTAAGGCCTGAGGACAAGTCTCCTGTCTTACCCAGTGGTCTTTACCCAAGTGGGGACCACATCTGGAGACATGTTCCTTTTGGTCCAGCCCAGTATTATCATTCGGACGCCAATGGTACTTGTCCTATGGGTATGGGCCACGTCTACCACGTTTTTCATTCTCAGCACAACTGCCGTTGTTAGAAGTCATTCCCCTTACCATCAGTAGCGCTCGCTCTTGAGAGGCCTGACAACAGAACATCCCTTGTGTTCCCTCTCCTCCCAGCTCTATCACCACTCTGATAAGGTTCCTCCTGGTTGTACTCACCCCTGCAGGGCCTGGTGTGCCCTGCTACCTCCACAAATGCCTGCAGTCCCTTTGAGACATTTGTAAATCCTGCCGACATTGATCATGGCCAAAGGGGAATTGATATGAAGCTTTTTTTTTAACCTTTGTACTCATTCTGAACCAAAACCAATATACTAACCCAACTAACATCCTATAACTCATTAGTATGAAAAATCTTGTAAAATCAGAACAGTTCATTGACACGCCAGATGTGTACATAGCAACATAGGAACACAAAAGGAAGGAAAAAACCACCCCCACAAAAGGAATTCCCAAGAAACATGTCTTCAAATAAAGGACATCTATGCACTGCTTGAATGAAATTCAAGTGAAGGATCCTCAGTAAGCTCAGTGAGATGGGAGAATATAAACAGATAATTCAACCAATGAAAACCATGTATGATCTGCACGAGAACCTGAAAAGATTTCTGTTGGAATGTACATTCTAACACCGTTTTAACGAAGTAAAATCTCTAATGTCTGGGTAAACACTTACCAATATGGTGGACTTTTTCATTGATGACCTCACAGTGGTAGGGCCACCGTGTGGGACTCAATGGGCCAGAAGAAGAGACACCGTATAAATCTCGAGGCTCTCGAAGGCGTGGCACCCATCGTCCTAGCTGATACTCCAAGAGAATCTGGGTGGTCCGAGGGAAGAACGGGTCGCCAAGAGCGTCTGGTGGAAAAGTTTCCAACACAAGGAGTGAGAAGGAAAGCCCCGATTCCTATGTGCTTTATGTGACTTCTTGTTTTTCTTCCAACACTATTTCATCCATGCATATCCTTTCTACTAGTGAATAATTCATGACATTTTAAATAGAAAATGTTTATGAATGTTTGTGGCAGCTGACCCTCATAAGAGCCAAAAATGTTTGTCAACTTATATATATCATGCATTCATGCTGAATTCTCAACTAGTACTTAAAAATGTCTGTTTCCTCTCTTGTCTCTCTTGTTCTGCTTACTTAAAAAATTATTTTATTGATTGTGTGTGTGTGTGTGTGTGTGTGTGTGTGTATACGTATGTGTATTGGTCCTGAGGCTTGCACTCAGGGTCTGGGTTCTGTCCCTGAGCTTTGTTTTGCTCAAGGCTAGTGCTCTTCCACTTGAACCACAGCTCCACTTCCAGTGTATTTGGTAGGTTAGTGGAGATTAGAGTCACATAGACTTTCCTGCCTGGGTTAGCTTTGAACCATGATCTTCAGATCTTAGCCTCCTAAGTAGCTAGGTTGTCCACTTGTACCTGTATACATTTTTTTTTTTTTTGCCAGTCCTGGGGCTTGACCTCAGGGCCTGGGCACTGTCCCTGACCTCCTTTGCTCAAGGCTAGTGCTCTACCACTTGATCCACATTCTCAGCCCACATTTTATTTTTTAAAAGTCATTTAATTATCTATCTATCTATCTATCTATCTATCTATCTATCTATCTATCTATCTATCTATCTATCATCTATCTATCTGTCTTGGGCAGGTCCTGAGGCTTAAACTCAGGACCTGGATGGTCCCTGAGATTTCTTTCTTTTTTTGTTTTTTCTTTGCTCAAAGATAGTGCTCTGCTAGCCTTGAGCTGAAGAGCTGAGGGACAGCGCCCAGGCCCAGAGTTCAGGCCCACAACCAGACCCCCCTCCCAAAAAAAAAAAAAAGATAGTGCTCTACCATTTGAGCCACAGATCCACTTCTGGCTGTTTGTGGTTAATTGGAGATAAGAGTCTCACAGGCTTTCCTGCCTGGACTGGCTTCAAACTGTGATCTTCAGATCTCAGCCTGACTTATTAGGATTACAGGGGTGAGCCACTGGTGCTGGTGACAAAGCCAATTCCAATGCTTAGTGACAGCTATAAAGTAACCATCACTTACATCCAATTTCCTCCATTATTTCAATCATAAATTGGGTTTAGGTAACACCATGCTAAAGAATTTAAATTCTAAAAAGATACTTATGGAAGTGAATATAAATTTCTCACTCTCTATCTATCAATATGATTGTTATTTTATTAAATCTGAGCTTGTTTTTAGTTTCCTTATCTTATCAACTTAAGATCTCATGATAAAAAAGTGAAAAGTTGAAACCTGTTAGCAGTGTACACTCACGAATATCTTCATCAAAAAATTTTATGAATGAATCCTCATCCTGAAACAAGAGAATTTTTAAATTTCAAAACCAACAGTTTCAAATTTAGAATATTTTCACATCTGTGTTTGTACTTGGAACTGAGTACATGTCTTTAATGTTTAATAAATAAGAAAGTTTAAGAATTTATTGTGCGTTTCTGGTCTCAAAGCAGTATCTCCAATATCCTGGAACCATCAAGTTTGCATCTTGACTGCTCGTCTTCCACTTGCTGTGGTCGTAATTGTATCTGTAGCAAATGACCAATGTTCGGGAACTTCAGAAAACAATTTAGATTAAGAATAAACTAAGCGGGGTGCTGGTGGCTCACACCTGTAATCCTAGCTACTCAGGAAGCTGAGAACTGAGGATTGAAGTTCGAAGCCAACCTGGGCAGGAAAGTCTGTGAGACTTTTAACTCCAATTAATCACCAGAAAATGGGAAATGGTGCTGTGGCTCAAAGTGAGAGAGCACTAGTCTTGAGCAAAAAAGAGCTCAGGGACAGTGCCCAGGCCCATGATCACACACACACACACACACACACACACACACACACACACACACACTCTAAGGATAAAGACGGAACCAATACAACAGCCATACTCACAAGAGAATATGTTGGAAATGATCTGTACAACTTGTGGGAGGAGGGGGTTGGAGGGCAGGGAAAGTGGGAGAAAAATGCGAGAGGGGGTAGCAAGTTTGACAAGAAATTTACTCACTACCTATGTAACTGTAACCCCTCTATAAATCGCCTTGACAATAAATTTTTTTTTAAATAGGAAAAAAAAACCCCAACAATAAAAAAAAAAAAACCCAGAAAACTATGAGCTTAAAGGGTATTTCTGGATTTTATATACACGATAATATTTTAATAAAATTTGAAGAAAATCTCTAAGAAATATGGACTAGAAACAGTTAAAATATTCCTTAAAACTCTACATTTTTCTTCTTACTTATTCTTTTGTTCGTAATATCAGAACCGTTTTAACCTTTACTATTACTGTGATATACCAGAGTATTAGAACTTAAGCGATTTTAGTATGATACAGAGTAGGAGGTGACACAGTAGAATTATATACAAGAAAATAAGTGGACATTAATTATAGAAAAACACTAATGACTTAATGCACATATTTTAATACATCCCACAAGACTCTTGCTGAAAATATTCCCTAAAGAAAACCAGGATAGTTTTTTTTCTTTCAAGACAAGACATATTGTACCTAATAATAGCTTAACTTTCAGTCATATTATTTCTCAACTTGAATGACAATGACTTAAACACCTACTGGATTTATTTTTAGCATATATTAGTTATACAAGGGCGGATTTCATTGTCCTTAATGTATTCCAATCAACCTCACCCCTTCTATCATTATCCATCGAACTGATTTTACATCAAATGTATTTTATACTATGTGAATATATGTTTTTATTTCAAAATATAAGATAGAAATTACGGAAAACATACCTCATCATCATCATCACTGATTGTTCTGTCTGAAGTGTCTTCCTTTTCTGAACCTTCTGACATCTCTTCCAGTGTTTGGCTTGAAAATCTTTTGTTATGTGGATAAGCTGTAAAACAATTTCTAAGGAAATTAGTTGACAGTTTTTCTTGTTAAGCTGAAGGCATATTTTACATTAAGTGACTACTTAAGAAAAGTTCAATTGTCTTAACAATGACAAGTTTGTAAAAACTAAATTAGGATCGAGCTAATAAAACCTTCGTTGAAGAAATGCTTCATTACTATGAGACAAGTCACAATAAAAGACAAATCAAATAAGTAATTTAACTGAAAAAGAAATTTCCAGATTATGTAGCCAATCAGACACTATACATTCAGAATAATAGTACATTCAGAATAGTAATAGTACATTCAGAATTATCCTAAGCCATGAACGTGATTATAAAGCCAGAAAAAATTATAGTTTATTCAAAGCTATTAAGTACAGTAATACAGACTTTTTTGCTTAGATTAGTTATACAGAAATTTCATTGTTACATTTCCATACATTTACAATGGATTCCAATCAATATCACTTTCTCTAGCAACCTGCCTTTCCTCCTCTTTTCCCCAAACAATCTCAACAAACTTCATTGTTCTGTTTTCATAGTTGCTATCGATTTCTACTCTACTCAACCCCCTGCATGCTCCATTGGTAGTCATACAGTTTTGTTTTTTGGTTCTTTTTAGTCGTTTGTGGGGCTTGAACTCAGGGCCTGGGTGCTGTCCTTGAGCAGCTCTTTTGCTCAAGACTAGCACTCTACCACTTTGAGCCACAGCGCCACTTTGGGTTTTTGAATGGTTAGAGTCTCATGGGGACTGTCTCCTTGATAACTGGAAGAAGATGGGCCTGACCAACCCCAAAGGAAAGACCTTAATCTTCTACTGTAATGTTGCCTAGCCTCAGCAGGATGTGAGGGCTGACGATGGCTCTCTTAAATTTAGTACTATTCTACAACTTCATCTCTACTGCTGCTGTCTAAAGAAATACTTAGAAGTCCCGTAGTCCCAGGCCTCTCTGGCCTTCTATTAAGACCCAGGCTTCCGATCCACCTGCCACGTTCCTTCTGACTCTCTCTTGTCTTTTACTTCTCAATCTGCCGATTGTCTCCCTCTCTAGATGATCCCTCAATTTATCAACCTTCTCAGGCCCTTCAGAATCTCCCCTCACTCTCCCCATCCTCCCCTAGCCTCTTCAAACCTTTAGCAGTCATATGGCCCTCCTACTTCTGGATTCTTCTCTGGGGCTTTCTCCTCTCAAGATCGTCTGACACCTAATCCAGAGGATACTACTTTGCCACCATCTTCCCCATCCTCTCAAGTCTCCTCTCTTTGTGGCTCTGTGGGGTCCACTGGGTCTTGGGACCCCTCTAAACCTCAAAGCCATCTCTCTTTTCTCTCCCCTCTTACAACGGTGTCAGAAAGTGGAGGAACCTTTGAGAGTTCAGGTTCTTTTTCCATGTCTGATTTCTCATTGACTTGAAAAGAAAAGCTCCCTTGACCATAAACTTCAGCTCCTAGTTGGCCCCTGAGAATGATCCAGATACCCATTTCAGAACAAGTTGATGGGACTTTACAAATCTTGAACAGTAGGAATGAGAAACAAAGGGAGGCTGAAAAGGAACAAAGAGAACACCACCTCTGAAAAAGGAGCGGACTAAGCTGATGGCTGCTGCTATTGGCAATGCCACTAGAGGGAAGTCTTACCCCAGTCTGGCCAAACAACCCAGTGCCTCTAGGAGGGGGCCAATAATAGAACCTGCTTCAATTGTATACATACTGGTCCCTGAAATAAGGACCGCCCCTCAAAATGGTTCTCTTTTGGCCCCAGGTTAACAAGAGGGCCATTGGATGAGGGATTGTCCCTACTTTAAGAAAGAGTGGTCCCCTTCAGGGATCTAATGGCTCCTCTATGTGAAACATCTCCAGTTGGCTCACTGCTCCTGGGACTTCTAGACACTGATGATTAATTAATTGATTAATTAATGAATTAATTTATTGGCTCCAATGCCAGATCAGACTCCAGACCTCACCGTCAACATAGCCAAGCCTCAAGTAAACTAATTAATCTTAGTGAGCAAAAGATTAATTAACAGAGAAGTGAATTAATCTCATTTATAATGGGGCAACTGAGTCTGCCCTCTTTTTAAACTTACAGGCCCTATTTCCTCATCATTACTACCATAATCTGTCAGTGCCTTACTCTTAAAGTTCTCTATACCTCATTATGAACTTTCCAAGACTTGAGCTCGTCTTCTTCAACCTTCCATTGCAAGGAACCTCTCCATCTTGCTAGTCCTCTCCTCATTAAACAATACTGCTGCCTTGGGGTCTTTTGGACCATGTCTCATACCATAGCATTTCTTATGGGTTCTGTCTATAAAATGGTTCACAATGTTATCAGGTGGCTGGGGTGTGTTGCCTCTACTCCCCATTGCCACATCTATGATCATACTACTCCTTGTTCCATTCTAACTTCCCTTCATCTTTATTTCATGACTATAAGCCATACTACATTACTTCAAGCTCTCAATGCTTGTGTTCGTAAGGGCTGCTGGTTTTGCACATGCGCAGTCTTGTCAGAACTCATTGCTTTTCCTGACTTCCAATGGCATGGTCAAATCTCTCCTTGACAGTGCTTCCCCAACCAGGCCCACAACCAGGAGGCTGGAGTCCTACTCAAAACCTTCCTTGTTACATAAACACCTGTGTAATTCATTCTCTCAAACTGCTATGTCTATCCAGGAGCCCATTTTATAGTAAGCTCAGTTACAAACCCAGATCCCTTTCTGTGCAAAAGCAAGTGTTAGCTTGTGACAGATCCGACTTTCGCTACCCAAGAATCAGTCACTACTCAAGACTGTAATCAAAGGCTGCCCACATCCTTCTGTCAGATGGGATAAAGCCACAAATCATACCTTCATCTCTCACAGGAGTCTTCCTAAACCAAACAACTGGGCTTTGTTTCCAGCCTTCAAATAATAAATAACCCTATACAAGAACCACAATGTGCTTGCCACCTAATTTAACTTACTGTTCATTAAAACTCCCTGATTCTTGGCATCTACCTAACTAATCAACATATGGATGATATGGATTCCTATCTTGATTATGTAAGTTCCTTATTTCCCCATCATTTCTTAATCTGGTCTCCCCATTTATTCCGTCTCATTCATGAGCTTCTAATCCCTATGGCCAATTTATAACATGGGAAGAAAGAGTTAGCTATACCTTCAATGTTGCATGCCAGCTTTTACCAACTTTATTATCTTACATCTGTGCATTCCTTCATCTAAAAGATTGTATTTTCTTTGTGCATTATCAGCCTTCCTTTGTATGCTCTCTAATTGATTAGGCACTTGTATTATAGAATCTAACATGCTATCCATAAAAATTAGTTCATCTCCAATTCCTTTTCTTGCCTATGGTCTGTCTAGATGAACAAGAAGAGAGCCGATTACTGCTTTTGTAGCCCTGAGCATTGGTATTCAGGTATTGTACACTTTTTTTAAACTGCCAGATATCTGTCTCAACAAATGGCTTCACAAATGGTAAAAAAAAAAAAAAAAAAAGAACCCCAAACTCCTGACACTATGAGGATACAGTTACAATCCAAACTTTTTTAACTGGGATCATTCTTCAGAACAGAAGAGTTCTTGATCTGTTACAGCAGGTCATGTTGCATATAACGTGAGCTTTTTAAAAAGTTGTTTTTATGGAAATGAGCCTGAAACCTTACATTTGAACTTAAGTGAGTTGTTACAACAGACCAGCAAATTCAAAGAACAAGGGCTCCAATATGGATGAACTTGGTTTAATTAAAATTAAATAATTGGTCTTGGATTTCTTAGGACCAGGCTGCCATTGTGTGCCTTCTCATTTCTGTATTCTGTATCATCCACCTCTTTATTACTTTTATCCCAAAGAGTCTGACCCAATTAACAAAGAGTATTCTTTAAAACCAACCTTGCTTTTTAAACTAACTTCAGCTTTTCCCTAAGAGTGACCTCTTAACCTTTCAAGGACAACTCTCCAAACCTATTCCACAGGAAGAAATGACAGAAAACAGATCCTCTTCCAACTCCTCTAGAATAAGTATCACTCACAGTAAACATTCAAGTAATTAATTCCCCTGTCCTGGTGGGGAAATAAGGCCTCAACCCCAATTAGCCTAACCTACTCCATTTTGTAACAGACTCCATTTTGTCTGGAAGAGAGGTTGCTTTACTTTGTTTTAGAGAAACTTTTCTGGACTCCAAGCAGGATCCTATTTACATCCTGTTTTGACAATATATTCCTGGAAAGGACTTATAAAATGACAATCATCTTGGCAGAAACCTCGAAAAAACCCATCACTCCAGCTTGAACTAAAATGTCAGTGGTATCTTAAATATAAACTCAGCCTTCACTCCACTCTGGCCTGCCCTATCTATGGTATCTGCTCGTTTCCCATTCTAGGTAGCAAATAAACCTTGGGTCTCCCTTCTTGCCTCTTTCGACTTTTTGTAAATTCTTTCATACTCAACTACTGAAGCTCCCAGACCTAATATGGTGGAGCATGCATCCCATACAAGAAAGGCCAAGTTGCATCATAGATAACTACAAAGGCGACAGAGAAAACTGTTTGGGGCTGAAGTTTCAGCCTGAGGATCATAACCCCAAATGTAGAAAACTGCACCAACAAGCAGCTGGAATCTTTCACCCTGGGTGCTAACCTGGGGTGGAATAAAACCTTAGCACCAGGAAAGCCCCACAAAGGTATTTAAGGGGCACTTGGCGGGTGTCCCATTCCTGAGGCAGGTCTGCGAATGAACCCAGTGACGATGGCTGGATTGGCTTGTTGGTGGGGAGCACGGTTAAGCCACGGGGCCTGGTGACCAGTCTTCTTCCCTCCTTCACTTCCGTGGGGTTGGTTGGGCAGAGTGTAGGAGCTAGCTCATTTCTGCGATGGCTTCCCTCAGGGGGGCCGCCTCCAATGTTCCCTTCTTTCTGGGGGCGAGCCCTCTGCGTCCTCTTACTCTCCCCG